TTTACCCAACTGACCGCTTATCCAACTGACCGTTTACCCAACGAACCATTCAATCAACCGACCGTTTGCCCAACTGACCATTTATCCAACTGACCGTTTACCCAACGGATCGTTTACCCAACTCACCGGTTAACGTGTCTTTAAAGATCGTTAGTCGGTCAGTTCGGTTAACAAACCCCAGTAGTGTTCAAAACGGTCGGTAACCGACGTGTTTATGCCATAGGGATGCCCAATGCAAGAAAACAAACCGTTTTAATCATTGGAAAAGCCACACAGCCCACATGCTTGCAAATGCCAGCAGGTAAAAGCTTTTCGCCTAAAACTTCTCAAGAACATGGAACAGGAGAGGGGGTAAAGTGCGGGGAAGTGGGGCGGCAGCACATACCCCCCCTGGCCATACCGCCCCGCACATACCACCCCTGGCCACCGAGATGCAATCATGATAGGGATGAGCGGGAGCCAAGGGAAACATTTAAAAGCATTATTGACTGAACCGCTTCACTGACGCTGAGATACCTACAGACGCTGAGATGTTCTCCAGACCGCCGCAAGTCTACAATGCCTCCATAACGTTTTGGGCGAAACACCTGGCAATGGCGGCCTCATAATGGCCAGCTTCGCCTCGCTCTTCACAAGTAACAAGTAACAACAAGTTCCGCACCGCACGCAAGCGTGGGTGTGTCCGTAAAAGCCGGGGGGCCATGGACGTTGTATTAGTATTGATGCGGGTACGCGGGAGGCCATCATCATCCTCGTTTGCTTCAGGGCGAAGCGCCTCAGCGCGACGTGCCTGGCCTCCCAGAGGTACCTGGCCAATGCCATGGGTGGCGCCTCAGTCATAATGGTGCACATGCTGCGCCCCTCAAAGACTAGGTCACCATCGTACTTAGCCCGTATGCTCTTGTAAGCGGGGCATTAATAAAAAACATGTAATTCATTTTCAACCGCTCCACAGAACCGCTCTTCACGTTCCCTAACTCTGGCGTTGATACCTCCTTGGACCTGATCTGCTACATCAAGGCTGTGACAACGCTTCCAAACTCAAGATGACCCCACCCTGCCAGTGTCAGGAATTCGCCGTGTTTCGCGCGTATTGGTCTGAGGGCTTATCCTTCGACCAGTGCGTGCTTGAATTTAGGCGCCTTCGTCAGTATGTGTGAATGCCTCGGCGTGCATTGCGGGTCCGTCCCGTACGGTAGGTAGTTGCATTCCCGCATCTGTTCCCGACTCGTGTGTTCACTAGGGCTTCTGGGTGCTGTTGGGGGACTGGGCATTTTGCGTTGCGGTGAGCCTACATACGTTCCAACAGCCTCGCGCACTGGTTCCCATTCCATGGCCTCCAACATGCTATGTTGATGATTGAATCCCTCTTCCGCACGAATATCATTATAGACTGGGCATTCCAATAACACGTGTTTTTCATCCTTGATTCGGCTATTAGTACCACAACAGCGGCAAAACCGCTGCCCCCTGGGGACATGGTACTTGCCCCTTCGTGCTCTGTTTGCCTCCTCCAAAGCCCAGCAACATAAACGAAACTGCATTAGCTTACGATGTGCTAAACGAGGAATGAAAACCTTAGCATGTGTCGGCCACATAGCGGCTGCAGCTCCCGAAAACAGCAGGCCCATCCAGTGCTTATACTTTCGCCATCTGCACTCCCGGTTGTTTCCCATCCGATGGGTACTCCCCTGGCAAGACAGTCAGACGCGCATGGTCCCAGCCGCTCATCAAACGCTCCCTTAGTACCGTTATCACCGCTCCTTCGGGGAGAGAGGTCCACTCAACGACCAGTCAACAGGCTCCTTTACACCCATGACTTCCTCTCCAAATATTGCACTCCAAGAAGGAACATTGAGGTTCCCCAAACCTCACATTCCAGGTTGGTCAGAGCATCGTTAATCTCCTGCCGTAAAACTGCATGAGCAATGGACCCCACTTGCTTTTGAGGGCGGTTTACTTGATACCTGACTGACGGTCGGCAGGATAAGGAGCCGATTTAACAAGCCACCGTCAAAACATTGCTCAAGCGTATTGCTCAAGCGTAAGCAAAACGAGCCCAGAATTAAGCTGAATGTTTATAAAAAAAATCTAACCACGGCCCCCGGAGCGGCCGAGGTCCTTGGAGGTCCAGGCCAGGCAGGGGTTCAGGCGAATGGCCTTAGCCCAGGCACCTGAAGCCTCTAAGCACTAGCGAATTTACTGTCGGTGCCTGAGATATCTGACTGGTGGGCTCGACGAATATCCTTGCAATAATCCGATGAAACACACTCCTCTCCCAAGCACCATGGAGAGGCCCAGAGGATGTGTCGCGCTGTTGGCCAAACCCGCATATCAGCACTCGACTTATCAGAGTTCGTACCTAGATTCGAGCAAAATACTGTTTCTGTCCGCACCCAAGCACCAGCCGCCAGCAGCAAGAATAAGAAGCCCAAATAAGTTCCACCTCTCCAAGGCCCGGTCACCGGGAGGGCCCCATATAAACCCCGATTGTCACTCTGCAGCACAAAACGTGTAACTGCTGTTGAGCCGTACACAAAGCATGTAGTCGCTGCCAACCTCTCCTCTGCTGCCTACAGGCGATAAGATGAAGACCGTAGGACTTGCATTTACGCATGGACTGCAAGCTCCAGGGGGAACATCGTGAAGGTTTCACAGCCGGACATCGAGAATGCTACCGGGCCAACTGGCAAAACGCTCCTCAGCAAGCGGACCAGGCCAACCTTCTCGAAGGACGCCATCTCATGGTTACAATCCCCGCTCGGCTGGGCGCTCGCCCTGATCGCTCATCAAGTGCTAAGGAAGTAACTCCTGCAATTCTGCACCACCCTTCCTCAATAGGTTAGCCCACGCTTTACTCTTCTCTGCCTGGCCTGGGAAATGCACAACGAAATCGCGCAGCTGCCATGTGTGGCCACAGTTGCTAGAGTATGAGTTTAGCTTCTGCTGGGGTATTAAGTGAAAAGTAGATGTAAGGCCCTCGATGTCATGATCAAAGACGTGGATGACTGCGCTCTGCTCGTACCAGATGTCATAAAGGTGAAGGGAGGTGTTTCGGCGTAAGGAATACACCGCATCCAGAAACTGGAACGCTCTGGGGGTGTTGCGGATAAGGAACGAACCCGTGTTGAGGTGATTGCAGTCGCGGGCAATCACAACCGCCTTGTCCAGGGGAATATGCTTCAGTACATGTTCCTCAATCGACAAACGACGATTGGTCACAAAAGCATCAACATCCATGCTCCAAACCCAGTCGTAGTAAGGCAGGTATCGCTGCAAGGCTGGAATCTTTGCCCACGCGCCGGGAAGATCTGGATCCTTGAAATTCCAAAAGATCGGAATGAATTCGTAATTGTAGTAATGGGCGTACTTAAACTTGTTCAAAAAGCTCTCCATGACATGGTCGAACCTGCGCACACAGGCAAGCACGTGGGGGCAAAGCATCAGGCTGGCAGGTGGACAAGATAAAACCCTGCTGGACGATTCTCCTTGCTTCCCCCTTGACAAGCCCTTATGTGCAGCCGACGACACGCTCCAAAAGGTTCGCGCCAACTTGTGTTGCCCCGACCAGTTAGTTAGCTGCCTGAGAGTCTAACCCTTTGGTTGAGTTTGGTTCAGTAACTTACGAGGCAGATGCTTCCGCAGGCCACGATAAGAACGTCTAGTCAGTCGCATGGTCACACCAAGCCCCGTGCGGCCCCTCGAACACCCCCATATTTCCTTTAAACCATTAATATAACACAAAGATCAGACGCCCCTGATGTAAACACTCACGATGGGGAACGAGGACATGGAAAACGGACAGGATTATCCCACCGGCAACTCGGTATAGCTGCTTGACGCACGGCAAGCGAAAATAACCGATAGTCATGGATACCCCGTAACAGATGCATTCAAATATTTAGCCAGGGGCTTACCTCAGTTGAGAATGATCTGTGACAAAATGGCCGTCTTTCGGTAGGATGAAGACTGTGATAATCGCGATATTAGGCTTGCCAGCGCCAATTTTTTCGTTGTTTTGCCATGGAAAGCTGAAGTTATGGGCCACCCCATTTGCGGCACTTCCATTCTGCAGCTCTCTAGGGCAAGCAGTACAGTTTGACGATGCAACAGAAGGACAAGCGCTAGTAACATTAGAAACAATAGGCTTTTGTTCTAACTCCTCCTCATACACACGATAGCGCCCTTTGTGCAGCAGTAAATCGCGTAAGGTAATGAATACATAGGGCCACACGAATATCATGAACAGAGCGAGCAATCCCGTTAGAAAGATGCGCAGCAGTTTCACCATAATTTTTGTTCACAATGTTACACACAACCTGATATTACATGTGGCATCATCCCATGCTCCACCTGTGCGATATTATTTAAGAGCGATAGGCGAAAGTTCAGCTTGCAAATCCCAGTGTAGTAAGCTTACTTGCAGTAGCGACGTGTAGATGAAATTACGAGTCGCATCAACTGTACGGCTAAAGGGGCCCGCCTGCTACGTCCGTTGAATATTTATCTGTTTTGAGTTACTCGTTGCTTGGCTGTTTGCTCCAATCCGCTGACTCGTTGTATGTATGCACTAGTCTAGTTGACTCTTATAGTTGCTAGTTATAGTTGTCTCTTATTATTGCTTGCGCTCCACTTTATTGGTTAAGTCTTGTCGGTTGCGCTTCACTTTATTGGTTGTGTCTTCTGCAACGCAATTGGAGCCTGGCAATTAGGTGTCATGCTTGGCGTTGTTTATGCTGACGAGGAGGATTGTATTCGTTTATATGTCATTGCGCAAAAGCTCATGCACGACCCCCCAGTTACTTACACAACCTCTGAATTCAACAGAGTTGAGTACAAGTATATTACGGACCAAGAGTGTTTCTGTGTGCGTTTTACATGATTTACATGGTCGTCGGATCAATAGTGTTAATGTACTGTCCGGTGCATTTGAAGAGTGGCGCTGTTACCTCGAGGGTTCATCGTATATCACTTTAGTCACCGACCACCAACCGCTGGTCTGTCTGCAAGACCAGCAAAGCGCCGATAGAATCTCTCGACGACAAGCTCGTTAGTTGGAACGTCTCTCACGTTCCGACTTTAAATGGGAGTATCGACCCCCACGGATTAACGTTGCTGACCCTCTCAGTCGGGTTCACGATGTGGTGCTAAACGTGCTCACGGCATCGCTGATTGGCAGCGATCTTGGGTGCCGAATCTTAAGCGGGTACGACGGCAAACCTATGCTCAGAACGAGCTCGGTAGCAAAGCTACAGCTTAACGGAAAGATGGCTTCTGTTATTATGGTTCCCAGATGTATATTTCGGCTGTCTGATTCCTGAAAGGAAATCACCCACGAACGTCACGGTGCTGGCCACCGCACCAAACAAGTAATCGTGAAACAGACCATTATTGGTGGTAGGACGTGAAGGCCTACGTTAGTACCTGCCCCTCTTGTCAGCACAACAAGGCTTCAAACCAAAAGCCAGGCAAACTGCTGCATCCCCTTCCCATTCCAGGTAATGTCTGGGAGAGTGTGTCAATGGATTTGGTCACACAGCTACCACCAACCCGGATTGGGCATAGACGCGATAGTTGTATTCGTGGACGACCTGAGCAAAATGATGCATGTTGCTCCCACAACTACACCCGTCGGTGCGGTAGAGCTAGCCCGGTTTTTTATGGCTACGGTTTTTAGGCAGCACGGCCTTACGCAGAATATTGTGTCTGACTGGGACACACTCTTTACAAGCCACTTCAGTAAGGAAACTCTTCGCCTCATAGGCACCCACCTCTATATGAGCACAGCCTATCGCCCATAGACGGATGGTCAAACCAAGCGAATGAATTGCTTACTGGAGGAGACACTTAGGGACTACATTTCGCCCACGCAGGATGATTGGGGCGAACACCTGTATGACTGCCGCCGTGTCATCGAGACTATTTGTAAGTATTCTCGTATGGCAGATTACTGGGCTAGCGATGTTGGGAATTAGGAAGGCCGGGATAGGGAGCTCGTGCATACGAGCATACATGCGTCCGCATCTAGGCATCCCATCAAACGGATCGGATGGTCGGGCTACAGGGTACGTTCCTTTGCTCACTGATATACGTGGAAACCGCTCCGAATGCACGTATTTTTCCGGAAAGTTAATCAGCACCCCCTTCATTTCTTCTGGGCTAGGCTAGCCTTAAACTGGTTGATCCAGAAGGGTCCATGTACCATCGTGTGTTTAAGGAGTTACGTCTTGTGTTGCCGGGGAATGGGCTGCAGGACTCCTACGGGCCTTGTGCTACGACCTGGATAGTGCGGCTGGCACTGCGGACGTTGAAGGCAAGGTGACTACCCTCCACCTTTCTAAGCTGGATGCCTTGAGGACCTAAATGCGCATCGGATGAATGGTCGGCTCCGCGTGGATCCTCGGGACTTACAAAGCCATCGGCACCTCTTATCATAAGCTAAAGAAAATGGCACTGATTAGCTTAAACGCGGGTGTCTCCGTTTCGGATTTAAACGTAGCGGTAGTTACGACAGCCGCACATACTGAAAACAGGTTGTTCTGTTAGACATTCATCAAGGAAATTTGCGAGGACCTCCATGTCGGGTATTGGGAAGGACTCGCCTAAATCGCGCCCCTGTTCGGCATAGTGTAAAATATTTCCTTCCCAACTCCAAAAGGCGACGGGATTCTCATCGCTAGCGAGCTCCCCCAACGAGGATTGCTTCCAATATATTTATGTGTAAGGCTCTCGGATAAGTCGCGCGTGTTCACGGCAAGGAGCCCTCCCCGGAAATCCTTTTCGGCAACAGCGGGCCTTGAGAGCTGTGAATGTTAGGGAACCTGCAGCAGCAGCCAATACAAAAAAGATGAAATGAAGATTTTTCTAGGAAGCATAGCAGCCTTAAAGTTGATTCGTCAACAAGAATGTTGCAATAGATGACACCGAGCTATACTTCACTGGGTAGATGTAATCCAACAGGCAAATGCTTGTCCGATGTCCATAGCATTCAGCCGTTTAAACAGCTTGGCACCCTAGAGACTAGAGAGCAGGACTACTTAACTTGCCACAAGTCCTTCATTTCAGACCAAGATTCAATATCTTACAGTATCAGCATGCAATTTCTTGCAGCAGACTCTGTATATGCCCTCCTGGATCCCGTTGATGCCAGCGCGACACGCTTTTTGCCGCTGCTGATTATGCACATAAACCTCCTCGAACACTACTTTTCTAGTATTCAAATGTATTTGAGAAGGGCATGCTTTTTTCTATGACGTTTAACGGTTGAGTACCCATAGTCAGCCTACACACAGCTCCAGCGTGAGTGCCCAAAAATGTATGCTGTTCTATTCTCTGAATGGATGGAATCTTATTAGTTCTGCATATAATTTGTCGCGTTCGTTTCTGCGCGCTTATATGGCTTCTAAAACAAGCCGTTTCGTCGTGCACAGCCCCTGCCCCTGTTTTGAACCGTTTATCGATGCCGATGTTTCTGCGCTACGGGATACTTGCGTTGTCAAGCCGCGTATGAGCTTTACGTCTGAGAGCATGGCTTGGCGCCTGGATCCTCCACAGCAAGCAAGCAGCACCTGGCAGCAAAATTACATTCTTGTTAACGCATCGTGGCCCACATCACATTTGACTGATCGCCCACGGCCTCGCAAATGGAAGTTATGGAACACCAGCTGGGTTGGCCGGCGGCCAGTGGAACGGGCGTGCCGATGGGTTCAATTTCCCGATGGGGTGTCCGATAGCGGCATGCTGGAGTCATCGGATAATGCTAGCGTTGCCAGCCAGCCGACAGGCCCACAAATTCGAGGACCCCTGCTGTACGACGTTGTCGAGCGTCCACTCGAGCAGGGAACCCCTATCCCCGCTACCAGCGGCCAAGGTTCAAATGTCCGCTGTACAGGCAGCGGGCTTCAGCGGCAGGCCCTGCTGCAGCTTCTCGGCCCATCCACAAGTATGTGCCACATTACAGGTCGCTCGTTGGTTACCCATGCCGTGGGGCTCGCCGCAATGCGCTTGCCATCATGGCAGCAATCAGCGGACCACGCCTCCGTGGCTTATTTGGCTCAGGCGGCCATGAGCCATCCCTGGCCAGCCTCCAAACGTTGTGACAGCAACGACGGGGCTGTGGGCCCACTCAACATGGCGGAAGCGTCGTCCGCAGCGGCAACGAAGCGGTCCTCTTCCTCCATGAAAGAACTTCATGCCGCCTGCCTGGCATCCGTTGCAGCTGCCCTGGTGCACCTGCCACGGGTAACAACTCAAGTGGGTGAAAAGGAGGGGAAGCCAGGCAGCAGCGGCTCCGCCGCCGTTGGCAGGGACCTACAGGGAAAGCGGATACCATAATGGAGGGGGGGACTTCAAAGCAGAGCGTGCAGCCAGTGCATCAGCTAGGCAAATACTGTTCCCTCAGGTTGCCAGCTGGCTTATGCTGTGCTGGTGGCATCGGCACAGGGACTTTAACAGAGGGTAGGCGGGAGCACATGCTTATGTCCTCAGGGCTTCAAGCAGCCGCAACACGGCTGTGGAGGGAAAGCCTATGAACCCCAGACATACTGTACTAGACATTTCCGTATACGTGCACTTCTGCTTTAATAGCAGAATCTACTCTTACGTACCTACGGTTTTATGTAGAACCGGTATGAACCACATGAGCCCGCATGTGCCCTGGCCCCTCATGCCTACGTGCCCGATGCAGGTCTGGGGTGAACACGGCCTGGCACTGCCATGCGGCTCCTTCCAGTCTTGGAAGCCGACCGCGCCCTCTAACGCCGGCTCGGGCGAAGCGCCACCCTTGCAACCTTCCCAGCTTCAGCAGCAGCATAAGTACCAGACGTATGTGACGAGGCCGACGGCCGCAGGGCCAGCGAACCAGGCAGACGCGGACACGCCGTTTATGCCCTCTATTAGCCGCCGGAATGTTTGTCAGGAGGGCCCCTCTTTGTCGCCTGCGTCGCTTACTTTCGCCGCCGGGCCGGGAGGCGCTGCTGCAGGCGCATACCCGGCATCGACCTCCACCGAGGCCTCCATGGGCCTCCTCTACACGGTTGACAGGAAAGATTCGTGCTACAGCAGCTCTGCATTTAGCTGCAGGTGCAGCAGTAATCCGGCCATCGGCACACATGATCGTGACACGGGAGGGGACGCGGACCGGAGAGGCTCGCCGGCGCCACCCCAAATGGCGGCTGAAGCTATGTCCGCACAACCGGGTCGGCAGACAGCGGGTCGGGACGATGCGGAGGCACAGGAGGAGGGTGCGGCGGAGCAGCAGGCAGAGCGACCAAAAGTATTTGGCAACCCGATTAGGTGAGTCGCAAGGCTCGACCCTGGGCTGTGTTCGGCCCATCACCTCGGCGCGCCTGTCTATGTTGCGCATCATGCTGCAGCTTGCAAGCCTTTAGTACGTGGCAAAGTTTCAGCCGTTCCTAGGCTTTCCCCGGTGACAGAAATATGTGTCTTTTGGAAAGTTTGTACACTTTTGTAGCTTTCCTAAGGCAGTCGCTATCTTCTTGTTTGAGCCTGGTCCCTGGCGCCTAACGTTGCATGTATCATGCCACGTCTTACCAGTTCGTTCGACGGTGGCCGTGCTGCCTTCCGTGGTAATATTGTCGCCTGTGGTGGAACTTTGCGTGTGTTCTTTCCAGGTACTGCAAGCTGCTGTTCGCTGGCGCCATGAGCGCCGTGGTGTCCCGCACATGTGTGGCCCCCCTGGAGCGAGTCAAGATGGACTTGTTGCTCAAGAACGGTACAGGGGACGCATTCACCACAGCGGCACAGGTGGGGCCTGGCCTGGGGATGCCTGTTAGGAGGGGTCCACTTCAGTCCGTTTGCGTGTTGTCGCGGCTATCAGTGCGGATGGCAAATCTGGCACGGGGAAACGGATGGCAGGGCGCTGGATGAGAGAAGCGGGTTCTGCTCGTTCAAGGCCCCAGCTTTCTCATCGGTTGCATGTTCTCTTCGTACTCGGTTCCCATTATTGCACGTGTGGGGATGGTGTTATCATGCGTATTTGTTTATGACATCGTACACTTCCGCTGCCGGCGCCACCAGGTGCTGCGTACGGAGGGCATTGCGGGGTTTTGGAAGGGCAACGCGCTCAACGTCCTCCGAACCGCCCCTTTCAAGGTGCGTCTCAGGGTCCCCTCCCCCCGCACCGGGAAGACCGGCAGTGATTGCCGCTGGTCCCACCAACCCGCTTCACCCTTCTGAAAAATTGTTGGTACGAGGGATTTTGCAGAGCTGTGCTTTAACAGCGGTGCTCTAAACAACGATACGAGCAGCAGGTGAAAAGGCGCAGCGGTGGGATACAGCTGGGTTCTGGGACAAAACCTAAGCCCCTGGCTCTGGCACGTCAATGACCCTAGCGATAAGGATTTCCGCTGTAAACCTTGGACTCAGGACTTGACAGGGATGGGCTTAATGGGCGTACACGTTGGACCTTTTCATCTTATATCCAATTTCCCACTATCGCAATCAGGGGCAATGCGAATCGGGGTTTCGAACTGCAAATCGCCATAAAAATATCTGTTTGCTACACGTCGGGCCATTCTTTGCCGCCTCCACCGATTCCAGGCCACTAAAACGTTTCTTTACCAGCAGCCGTTCCTCACTACCTGACTTGAGCCCGCGGTCTGAGGAGGCCGTTGCGAGGCGTCCTAGCCACGTATAATGTCGCACTGGCGTAATGGCTGTTGCATCTGCTCCTCCGCTCGCAGCAGGGCTCCGATACCCTCCTGCCTCGCCCCATCTCCGATACCCGTCCGGCCGCCAAGCTCCCGTTGCGCCTATGTCGTTTCCCCCTCGTAACGCTGCCCGTCCCAGGCTGTAAACTTCTTCTCGTTCGATATGTACCGTGCGGCCTTCCTGGCGCTTTCGGGGCGGGAGGAAAACTTTGAGCGCTTCCTGGCGGGTGCCTGCGCAGGTGCGCCCTGCCATGCATGGGTGCGAACTGCTGATGCAACCTTCGCGGGCCCCAGAACCGACTGATGTGGGTTTCACATCAAGGCAATTGTTTTGGCATGTTACGGCTCTGCGCGTTAAGCATCCATACACGTCACGTGGTCTCCGGTTCGTCCGCAATTTCGTTTAACCCTGTCTCCGTTTACATAACTGCCTAAGATCTTCAGAATGTGCATTGTGTTGGGTTCTCAGGATGTGAACGGGTTCGGGGTCGTGTTGCATCTTTATGTGCTACCTACCTCTTGCGTATTACCGTGTGGTGTTGTTGGGGTGCTGCTACTCCCCAGGCGTCACGGCTACGTTGGTGTGCTTCCCACTGGATGTGGTGCGCACCCGACTGATGGCCTCAGTGGCGGGGCCGCGCTACGGCTCCGGACCCTTCAGCACATTGGCGGGAATATTGCGGAACGAGGGCGCCGCGGCGCTGTACTCAGGTGGGCCGTGGGGCTGCCGTAGTCCGTTGGTGATGCGCTGTCATCATGTGCAGATGCTGGTCGGCGAGGGACCTTCAACGGGTTGATTGCGAACTGGGGTAGGGGGCCGGCTCTTGGAGCGTGATATCATTTACCTTCATTGAAGCCTGTTATCTGCATATAATTTGATGAAGTCCGTGTCTGGTTTTGGAGTGGTAATGCTTGGTAAAGGCATTTCGTCCGGGACAGTTCGTCCGGTGCGGACTACCGATCCGTCGCCTCCGAGATGCGTGGTCACTACCGGGCTTACCGGGCTCGCAAAGCTCGTTCTGTGTTATTACTGGACCGGTTCTGACGACGAACACTTGATCGGGTTACCGGGTCGTAATGGATGGCTTTGCAACACCCTTTCCAAATAGGTTGCCTGCCAGCGGTGATTGGGATGGCGCCCGCTGGGGCCGTATTCTACGGCGTGTACGACCTGCTGAAGCACAGACACCTGGAGAGCTTGTCGGCGGCAGGCGGTGGCAGCGTGGCCAACCCTGCCGCCGCTGCCAATACGGCAGTGGGGGCGAGCATGGCGACGGCGCAACAGCAACCTACGCTTGACCCGCTTTACACGCTGTTGTACGGAGCTATGGCAGGTGAAGATGCGCACAGGAACTGAGAGGGACAGGCCGATTGGAGGGTTCCTTGGGTTGATCTCATCAGCAGTGTGTCATTAGGAAGGAGTTGTGCGCTGAGCGGGAGCAGCTGGCTTATAACGATGGCTTTTAAGGCGCACAGGCCCTTGCCCTAGGTGCTGGCAGTGGAGGCATCCCATCCGACCCACCAGCTGGCTGGCTGCGGCCCGTACCACAGCGGTCCTCAAGGACGCTTCGGCTCGCGAGTAAATAGAATTTGCAGCGGAGCCATGTTGAATTCCACCTATGCCTGCCTTGGTGCCGCCCGCCACCACCTGGGGTTACTTTCGCCAAGACGCCTACGTGGCATCTGCTGTACCTTTCACCATTCACAGGTGCGGCTTCCGAGCTGATTGTTTATCCCCTGGAGGTGATTCGACGGAAGATGCAGCTGCAGAGCATGGCGCTGGCAAACATGCGGCAGGTCGGCGGCATGCACCCGCATCATCACCATCATCACCACTTCGGTGCCACAGGAGGGGCGTCAGGGGCCTCAGGCGGCCGCCTGGCGGCTGCGGCGCATCATCACCACCACAAGCTACCGTACAACCTTGGGGCGCAGAAGATGATTGCAACTTTATCGGCGGCGGCGGTGGCTAAATCGCCAGGGTTGGCGCGGGTACTCGCGGCTGTCATGGCGATTCTGAGCACGGATGGCCCACGCGGGTTTTATAGTGGCCTGCTGCCCAACATGCTGCAGGTGAGTGGATGTATGGGGCGCTTGTGGAGTATGGAAGGCGGGTTCGTTACAGAAGAAGGCATGGCACTGCACACGCTATGCGAAGCGAAATGTTAACCACTGTGTCCCTGATGCAAGGGTCCGTCCATCCATATAGTATGGAGGGCTGTGCACCTGGAGCCCCGTAAGGAGGAAGTGAAATGGTGTATTGTGCGACAAATGGATTGTTCCAGCGTTTCCAAGGAAGATTGCCAACACCGTTGAGGACGTTGCACCTGCAACTCCAGGAAGGGTTGCTGCCCAACCACGCTGCTACCGTACCAAGTACAAGGCCATCAACGCCTGCGGTCTCGGCGGTATAAGGTTTCTCTGCTGATGGGCGATCCTGGGCGCATCTCTGTCTGATTGTCCCGGGCTCCTCCCCCATGTGTATGTAATACAGGTACTTCCTAGTGCAGCACTCAGCTACTACACATACGATACGCTCAAGACGGTGTTGGGAGCCCAGTAGCAGGCGCGCAACGGCGTTGTTAGGAACGGAACGCGTTAAGCTGTTTCGTGGACGATGGAGAGCAGCCATTGGCCAATGTACGAACATGTGGATCGGTAGTGGCATGGGTACGACCTCGTGTTACAGGCAATGGTATGTTTTGAAGCAGGGAAGAATGCTTTGAAGAATGCTCGGGTGCCAGGTTGCGAATGTGACGAGATTCGTGATGCCCATCATGAGCTGAAGTTATGAGTGCGGCAAAGTGGTTAGCGTGGACAGTGGCAAAGCTGCACACCGTGTACGGAGGATTTAGAAGAGATCTCATTTCGTTGAGCGCTGATGACAGCATTAACTTACGTTGCAGTTGTCATTATTCAAGTTAGGGTTCGGTCAATTGCTCCATCCTCTTGGTGCTTAATGAATGAGCTGTGCAAAGTAGTTGCAGTTAGAGGACCTAAGGGGCTACAATGCGAAGTGCGAAGGAGCGCAGAGTTTTGAGAGGCAGATAGAATAACGATCGATGGTTTTGGAAGCTGCATATGCTGTCCGCGTGAGATGGCCTAAGCAGCGGCAGAGAATATCGTGGACGTGCAACGTCCGCAGCCGCTCATATTGTGTCGTTGTTACCCTAGGGGCTAGAAAGCAAAGATTGAGTATGGGCGGTGCCAAACTGGCTAAATAGCGGGGATGGCTCAGTTGGTAGAGGGAAGGCTAGCCGGCTTAAGGCTGAGTCGGCGAGTACTCAGGTCAAGTCTGGAAATTACAGCTTCAGATGCGGAGTGGATGAGCGGACAAATATGCCTTATATGCCTATATGTCTACAATAGAGACTGACACAGGAGTCAGAGAAAATCGTACACAATATGAACACGTTATGAATTGCCTAAACCCTTACACCCTAAACCAGAAGTCACGTTTTGGGACAGGTGGCGCTCACAGGCTGAGGAGGGGAAAAGGCGACGAGTTAGGGAGGAGATAAGGCAAGGTGGTATGGAGGGGACTAGGGGGCCGGCTTTTCAAAGCCGAACAAGGGCTCGGCCCCGGTGCAGCCACTTGACCCCCGTTTGATTCGCAGGGCTGTCCGTACGGCATAGGAGTGCAAGCACAAGAACGCCGCCACGTTATTGAAATCCTCAAACAATAAAGGCCGGCAGACTTGCGACGGCGGTGTAGACCTGTCTGGATCGTCGCAAGCGCGCAGCCGCCATAGCATAATCATTATTGACTGAACAGTTAGCCTTCTGTGATGCGGCAATCCGTAGAATGACATACACACAAAGCAGGAGTGTCATTGCGGCAACGTGTGTTGCCGCTGCTGCGCCAAATCCATGAGACGGGACTGCCCGATACGTGGTTGGTACTACCGTTGCATCCATATTCGACGCCGGCCCTTCTGCTGGCTGGCAGTTCAAGGCGCGTCAAAGTGCCCGTGCTTCATGGACCAATTGTTGTCCGCTCCCAGCCAGAACGCATTCGGGGATCGTTCCAATTACACATTTTGAAGTCGGAATGCAGCGGCAAAGCTGATGGTGTGCCGTAAAGGCACACTTCGTTTGAACTTGGATTGAATGAATGAAGAAGAGAATAAGAAGGACAACAATCAAAAAGGCACGAACGAGACGCCAGGAGGGAGGTGCTCAGAGTGTTGCCCTAAAGTTGGCGAGCATGAACGAACCAACCCATAAAGGATCATGCCGTTTGCTTATGAAACTATAATGTAAGGGACATGCAACGATGTCAGAGGCAAGGGCTGCGGTGTGAGGGGAAATCAAACTTGAAGCCATTGATGTGTTTGAATGTTCTCTCCGATGTGTTTGAATGTTCTCTCCGATGTGTTTGAATGTTCTCGTTTGGCCACCCGATAAAGAATTGATGTAGCTTTTACATGCAATCTTTAGCGGAGTGAGATATGGAGATTGATCTCACCCTGGAAAGCCCACAGATATATCTGAATTCATTCCCTTGGTCTATTAAAAGAGAATTAGAATTGCTTTCAGACGCAAACTAAAGCGGGGCAAGATATGAAATCTGTTCGGAAGCTAACTTCGCCCACAAATTTATCTGAATCAACTCCATTGGTCCAACGACAGAGAATCAGAATAGCTTTCAGACGCAATTTTAATCGGGGCGAAATATAATAAAATGTTACACCATGACTGACTGACTGACTGACTGACTGACTGACTGCAGCAGTGAACCCAGGGGCCTCGGCCCCCCGTATGGCGCTTCGCCCCAAAACAGATTAATATAAACAACATATATAAAGGCAAGGCTGGCTGCACGGAAGACGGCCGGGGCCTCCCTCATTCTCCAGGTTTTCAGTTGTCCTATGATATTGTTGATGTACGCTGACCTGAGGGCAAAATGCGCGACCGCAGTTCAGTGTCAATGTCAGTGTCATGCAAGTGCCACTCAAGGGCCAAGTGCAAAGCCTAGCACCAGTACGCACTGCCCAGATGCTGTACGGCAACTAAGCCGGCTTCCACAACGCAAGCTCGCATTAAACCACACAATAAATTAACGCTATGACAAATGGGAGCGTACATATGTAGCTCTGTTGACGCATGAGCAGTGCGCACTATGCAAAACACTAAGTTTCTGCTTCTGCGGTTGACGACACTTATTATCGCGACTGTACCCAACTCACTATGTGGTTATTCAGGCATGGGACGTCTTCGAGGACTCTACGTTGGTTGGATCGGGCACGCAAACCTTGGCGATGAACTGGTGCTCGACATTTTCGGACACTTGCTACGCGACGTTCTGCTGGAGCAGGGCATGTACCAACGTGCGAGTTTAGAGTACCAACCAGCCTTCGTTTCAGGTCAATCCCAGCAACTGAACTTTTCCACTTACGGCTTTGCGGTACTTGGCGGTGGCTCTTTATTGGAGGCTGGATACAGTGCGTGGACCAACCAATGTGATGGTCTGGGAAATGCGAAGGTGCCGTTGTATGTCCATGGAACAGGCACCCAGCTAGGTTTAAAGGATCACGACTTTCGGAACCCTAAGTGCTTACAGCCGCCTGTCTGGGGAGGTGTGCGCGGGCACTTCACAAACGCGCTTTTGGCGAACTTGTCGCAGCATTTTCAAAGCAACATTAGTTTCGAGCTACCTGTCTTTGGGGACTCGGGAATCCTCGCCGACCGTATTTTCCCTCGTGTGTCCTCCGCACTTGTCGCGGAACTGGAGGGTGCTATCGATAGGAGGAGTTCTGCTGGCGTCATCTGCATCAGCGGCAGCATCCAATCGGGGCAAACGGATACAGCCGATTTGATACTGGCATGGGTAAGCAAATACATTATCGTATTGCTGCCAGTGGACCCTGAAACAGCCGACAGACAGGTGGTCATAACCTGGAAAGTGCGGACAGCGAGCCCCAATGCCAACGGCGGACTGTTTTTCAACCCGCAAGTTACCAATTACGGCGTCTGGCTGGCCCTCTTGTCCCGCTGTGATTTGGTCATAAGCTCACGGCTTCATGCCGCCGTGATGGCGGCGGCCGTCGGGGTGCCGTTCGTCATGCTGTACACTAATGAAAACACTATGCTCTACAGGAAGGGCAAGGATTTCTTGCTGGGAACCATTGGGCCGGACGGTTGGGAGGAGTTTCTCGTACGGCGGAGTGAGTTTAACGGGTCACTCGCTGCCGTGGACAATCTCCTGCGTACGGTGCGCAGCCGGCATCCCCGGCAGAAGTCAGCGTTCGACCGGGCAATAGAGCACGCACAGTCGTCCTACATGAGCAGCTTGCGGGCGTTCGTCCGAACAGTCATTCCCGACAACTTCCGGTCCTTCAAGGATGTGCACATTCGTATATCTAGATACCTTGACAGCGCAAGTTTCGACCTACTCTTTGAGTGAGGCCCATCAATGCGTCATCGCCCAGTGCCATGTATGCCGAGGAGCGGGATGCCTTATGTCTTCCTTGGGTGAGCTAAGAGCGACTGTGCGGGTGGTGCTTAGCGATTGATAAGCCAGGAATCCAATGTGTCGAGCAAGCGGACATCGGCGGGATGTTCGGTTGTCTTAGGTTGTAGCCTGAAAAAGCGAAAAACCCGATTCTCGGTGCATGCTATGGATATTACTGATTATGATACGACGGAACATCGCCATACTCATAAAGACCTACAAGGGAGTGCGCGTAAGTTGCTGAGTTTGTGCTGAGTTGAGGATGATAACCTCAAAATAAAGTTTGCCTGCGCAGGTTTTGAGAGTCGCGGCATTCTTAGGACGCGTTACGTTAAAGCATCGGCAATGGGCCTTAACTGACCAATCTACATAAAGGACCGGTTCGCAGATCGTCGGTCAACAGCTTTCGTCTGTCTTTCCCTTTTTGGTTAAAATGATTTCATTTATCTGAGCTTGCGTTGGGGACTTGGTGCATGCACATTCGTCAGTACCTCATGGGGTACAATCCACAGCGCACATCTGCAGTACAGGGCTGCCGTACAGCGAACGCAATAACTATAGAGGCCATCCTGGCCGCCCACTCACTTTTGATACCTGGAGCGCAAAAACTGGATAAGTATGCCATCCGTGCGTCTGGATTATGCATTCTTTTTCTCATTGTGCTTGTGCATTGGGTATTTATGCGTTCCTAATTTCTGAAGTTGTGTTGATGTCGGGGCTACGATAAACGGTTTCAAGACAGTGCGCTTGCTTCCATTTCAAATCCGTTGATGCAAAATAAAAAGGGGCCCCTACGCGAAGTCCTGTTTTCTTTTTGCTCATCTTGCCTATCTATATGGAAATGTCCTGAGTAGGTTTCATAACAAATCTTGTCTAAAGTGTGCTTCATGTTGAGTACTTGTTCTACAGGATGATAAGTTTAGCTATGTTATGTGGTGTGTTATCTGTGTTATCTCCGTGATACCCCTTACGACACTCGGGGGGAAGCTTTTTGCGGTCATTAGCTAGATGTCGACTGTGTGTTAAGAGGGGATGTGACGTGGTAGTATTTAATAATTTAAGGTTTAGCACATGGTTTGGCTGTCTTGTTTGTCGCAGGAGGTTGCAGAAGGAGCAATCCACCTTCAGCAACGCGTGCCATCGCGTTAGCTGGGTAGGTTTAGTTTGCATACGCGCGTCTGCTGTGATTGACGGTAGGGTTAGGACTCCTGACTGTTTCTGTTTTCCGGAAGTATGCTTCAACGTGGAGGATGACAAGTAGTGTCGGCGTCCTTGGAGAATAATAGGAGCTCGACCCCGGAATGGTGCCTTCCTCAGCCCATGGGGACACCTTCCGGAGGTTCATTTATACCTGGGTTGCCTCCCCTTGGGGCGCCTTGGCCTGCATTGGAAACAGGGAAGCTTTCCAAATGAATTTTCCAGGCTATGTAAAGTTTGCCATAGCTATGTCGTCCCCTTCGGCTATATCGTCCCCATGCAAAGGGTCTAGGAGTCGGTAAACCTAACCCTATAACCTGATTCCTCACACTTGTCAATTATGTGCGCCAATGTCCATAGGCTGCCCACGTGCGTGGCGAAGCTCATTCAGTTTGGATGTGGAGGCTAATGGGCTAAGTGCGGAAGAAACCCGAGGCCCCGGGCCTGGAAAGGAACGAATCGCATCCACATGCCGCCGGCTTGTTATATGTGCCTTGACTTAAGCCCGCCATGGCTGTACGCCACCTCAGTCCTCAGCCATGGCTTGTCGCGATTGTCACTGCTTGAGCGGATGCGTGTGTATGTGTGCGTGTGCATGTGGATACGTGAGGATGTGTGCCGACGCATGCATATGCGTGCAAATATGTAAGGCGCCTTAGATGATGTCCGGTGAAAATGGCCACTCTTGTTCCCGCTAAACCCTCACATAGGTGTGTGCTTATTCTGTTCGGTGATGACATAGGTGACGGCGTTTCATGATTTTACTATAAGGCGAATATGGTGACACCGACTCCCCTTAATCTGCGCGGTGGGGAACATAGCTGATGATATTATGAACCAGCTACAACCAAGGCAAACATGGTCGTGTTGACATGTGGGGCATTCGGTCTTGCCGTTTGGGGTTTGGAATGAAAAGGATTCAGGCTTGGGACAGTTTCTTAGGGTTGGATTGACGCAGATTGTCTTTCGTAATGCAGACAATGCCTGCCCCTTTCTGTTCAGTTGTCATTGATGTCATCTTTTCCGGCCAATTATCATACCACTTTCAGCTCCTCGCCAAAGTTAACTGACGTTATGAACAAAGTGCGGTTCCTGCGTGGCAAATGAAATGCACGTACGACCTGCGGATTTCCATAGCATTTGTGCCTCACATCCCTTGGTGAAGCAAAGAAACGTATTAAAATTGTAGAGGTTTGGGCAGCGTTGAAAGACTGTAGTCTTGGCAAGTGTGTGGCTTTTATAAAGATGTCAACTCAGAATAGGCTTCCAGTTGTGCCCACCGTCACAGTGCTGACAGTGATGAAGGCACGCCTGGTTGGTGCAACAAAGGGGCATGCTTTGCTCAAAAAGAAGGCCGATGCGCTGACCATGCGCTTTAGGCAACTGCTGAAGGAGATTATCGAAGCCAAGGAGAATTTGGGGTCAACGATGAAGGGATCTTTTTTCGCGTACACTGAGGCGCAGTATGCAGCGGGCGAGAAAGTTAAACATACGATCATGGACAACGTAGAGACCGCTATGGTGAAGGTGCGCGGCGAGCTTGACAACGTAGCTGGTGTGAAAATCCCCCGCTTCGAGTCGTTTGTCCTACCCGGGGAGAGCAAAATGGACCTAACAGGTAGGTTTTTGTGACAACCCCGGGTGGCGTGCAAACGGTTCGGCGACATTAGGGGTTTGTCCGGACATCGACCAACCGCGACTTGTCGCCCTCGTAGGTCTGGGCCGCGGCGGCCAGCAGCTCCAAAATTGCCGCAAGGCATACCTCAGCGCGGTCGAGCTGCTGGTCCAGCTAGCCAATCTGCAGGTATGCGACAGGTTAGCCGGGAAAGATACCATCCGAGGTGGGAAATTTTACCATTTAACGTGCCATGTAGCCTTGGTATACAGTTTATCCTGGTGCGTGTGCACGTGGGTAGGTCGCCGCTATGGTTTGTGCCGATAAAGCGTCCGGCCGCACTTCCTGACACCAAGGCAACACTATTACACCGGTACTGGTAGGCACAAATTTGTTACTAATAGGGGAGCCATATCGGCAAGGCCTCCCTGATGGCACCAGTGCTAGTCCTGTCTTAGTCTTCGCCGAAGCTGTTAAGTAGTTGTGTGTGCCGGTACCGAGCAGTTGGTCTCCCTTTCCTGATCTGCGTTTCATGCAGCATCCGGCGATGTGCCCGTTGACACGGCTTCTTTCGCTCCGCCTTCGTACCTTGGTAGCCCCCTGTAACAACCAAAAAAACGTGACACTCCCTCTGCCTTCCGCCTTGGCGCGGTGCAGACTGCTTTCATGACTTTGGACGAGGCACTTAAGGTCACGAACCGCCGCGTAAACGCACTGGAGAATGTGGTGAAGCCCAAACTTGAAAACACGATCTCCTACATCAAGGGTGCGGCAGGGCCTTTTATAGACATAGAATCTCATTTAGGTGAAGGCGCTTGTGGTGCGTGCAGAGACTCGGGTTCTAAGGTTGCCAGTAGCCATACTGGCCGATGTGGCAAGGTAACCTTGTTTCCCTTTCAAGCCCTCTTTGCTTAGTACACTTTCGAGAGCATGAGGTTTGTCACCTTTCTGGGTGTGTTCTGGGTTGCACTTCGCACCATCACTCTGACTAGGGCACTCGGACTTTTAAACCAGGTGCTGGGCATGGACAGTCTTCTATAGGCCAACCCGAAGTCGTGCCCTGGCCGCTTTCCTGGCGGCGTTCAGAGGCCATGACAGGTTAACTCTTCAACTGAGGCCACAGCGACATTCACCAGCAACCCCTTAACGGCACAACCGCGCAGTCGTCAGCGAGTTCCAGGAGTTATGTAGTTCATGGGCAGGCATGTGTATATATGTCCATTGTGCTGCTTCGTCAAGCGTATGCAAACTGGACATGCATTACTGCCCGGCGCCGATCTCCTGCGATTATGCAGCCGAACTAGACGAGCTCGAGCGCGAGGAGTTTTTCCGGCTAAAGAAGGTGCAGAAGAACAAGCAGAAGAAGGTGGCGCAAGACGCTGCACAGGTACGGATATATCCTTGCAGCATGCTGGCGCGGATTTTAAACGACAAAGCTCCGACTGTGCCCTTCACACCTCTCCCAGCCCGACTCTAGCTTCTCCTCTTATAATTCCTGCTCCTGCGTACGGGCACCCATACTTCACCCATACTTGTGTTCCTTTTAACTCCATTCTGGTGGTATGAACCTATTCCCACCCGCTGCAATTCTTAGCCTGAAGCGAATGCCTTGTCGACCTACCGCGGCACACCATTCACGGCGAACTCACTTCGCTTGACACCACATGATGAGCTTTACTCCGCAAGCGGGCGCTGGCAGCTTTAGGCCACCATGGTTCCGTAGCGTTTGCCAGTGCTCGTTCGTGGCCGTGCTTCAGCTGAGACCGCACAGCCCTAAGATACCATTCTTTTTTATGGACAATGGACATGGGTATCGGCATCAGTTACTTCATGCGCTCCTTTCCTACTCGCCTGTGGTCGTCCGCAGGCTACCGGGAAAGAGCAGGCTCTGGTGAGCGGTGGGACATCGGCGGATCTCAAGCTCCCGCCCTTTAACGGGCCAGCTGCGGGCGTGCAGCCTCCGGCCACGTCCAACTTGCTCAACTATAAGGAAGATGATCTGCTGTTCTGAGCGACGCGATGGGTTTGCTGTCGATCTTGCGAGTCGGAGGCAAAAGTGGGATAGGGAAACGTGTGTACGAACTCTCCCTGTCCGATCTGGCCCTTCGTTTTTGCTCCAGGGCAGCCGCACTTCGACAATTCGTATTGCTGTCTGGTCCTCTTTTCGACGGGTTCGCCAACTTTCCTAATAGTGGTCATAACTCATGCTAAACTGCCACCGCTGGCGCTAATAGTAGTAAACTAGCTCTACCACCAATCATAAGGGCACTGGTCCTACGAGAATTGCGTGCTGAAAGGATTACGCGCGTTCTGGGCTTGTTTGGGTTCAGCTGGCTAGGTTCTCTGCCTCACAGCTCAGCGCACCGTGTTCTCCAAAAGTGACGTACCGACACGATGGTCAGGGTGGGACTTTACGGTGTTGCTCTACTGGACTTCTCAAAGTAGGGCGTGTGGTGTGCGTGCGCGGATTGAAGGTGGTTTGTGCGGAAGACTGTTAGGCTTCCTGGGAGGCGGCACCGCTGCGGTGGCATGGCTCGTTGGGTGCGCATGATTGTACTTTTGGTAGGCATATGTGTCTTCCAGCATTGTCAATTTGTAACATTGGTGTGGATGGACATGTCTGTCACTTCGACCACAACTTGGTATGGAACCGTACTTTCAACATAATCCATCGTTTTTGTGTGTGTGTGACATGGTTGGGGGTGCCTGACCCCATACGTGTAAACTACCCATACGAGCCGAAGGCCCAAGGGCAATATCTATACGCCTAAAAGCCACGGAGAACAGGAACACCGCACTATCAGTCTAGACTAGCGCCCAAAGGGGATAACTGAGTTTCGGTGAGGCCACATACGTTCCAACATCCTCGCCAGACGTACTGGCTCCCATTTCATGGCCTCCAACATGCTCTGTTCCGTGCTCCCATCGTTTGTGCCATGCATAGTTGAAAAGATCATCACACTGTCTGTGCATCACAACACAACCACCACCCTCTTGCGTGAGCTTTCACGGCCGCAAGCAGTGCCACCGACCTGACGGCTCACATACTCGACGGCCTTGAGTACAGTACAACACATCCTTGAGAGACTAGCATCGCAGCTGAAAAGGCTAAACGCTGAAGGCCATATGACCCAAATCCGGGGCTGGAACCGTACGGATAGGAGACAAACAAACCCAATCGGGTCAATAAACACTCATTCGCATCACTCACCACTACCGACGACGTTGGGTCGGTCAATACTTAGCACGTGGTAATGCAAATCATTCAGGTGAGCTGTGCAAAAGCACGATACCAATCAGAAGAGTATGCACTTAAAACTATTTTCCAGGGCCCAATGGTGACTTCGTGACGACGTTGGCAATGATCTTAAGCTTTCTGCAAGGTGCAGCCCGCCGGCTCCGCAGACCTTACCCTCTCAAATCCAGCCAACATTCGCTCTTCCTCTCCCTACCGTTCCTATGCTCAGAACACAATGCACCTTTGTCTGTCCTTCCGTCGTCCACGTCGGCAAACCCCTTGGGCCCTTGATTCAAATAGCATCTGCCCTCACACCAGCTGTACAGCAGCAATACCAGGGATCTTCTCCCGCAATTTCTGTGTTACCGCCACGCGCACGGTCATTACATTGGCCGCCGGCCCTGTGATGCGAATCTTGACAATAACACCATCAATGTTAACAAGATCAAGACCTCCGCCGCCAGTCCCAACCAGGTAGGGGCGAATTTCATTTAAAACGGTCTCCACGTTTTCGGCGTTCAAATCCAAGCCCAGGCTCTCCTCCGTCACCTGCTCCACATCCAAGATCTCCTGCAAGTGCGCAAGCAGGTCGTTTAGAGGAATCCGTTGAAAGATGGCATGCAACGGCTGTGCTGCAGGCAGGTCTTTCGGAGATGGCCTTTGCATCTGTATGTGGAAAACTCTGTTCACATCTCCGGGGCAGGTTGTACAGAATTGCCGTTGCAGCTGCTGGGCGCACGTAAGCACGTCATGACATGCAACACTACGGCTGCAGGTCTACGCTGCTGTGAACAATGACTTCGGGACCATGTGGAGAAAGCCATCACAGCTGAGCGGGCAGCGGGCTTGGGATACCGTTCACAACCGTGAACGGGAAGGTCACTCAGGAGGAAGCCGTCGCAGCTGAGCGGCAGCAAGCATGTCATGGCATGCAATGGCTTTTGGCAAATCATGAACGCCGTCACAGCCGAGCAGCAGCAAACTCGGTAGCCCGTTCACAGCAACGGGAAGATCGTTGAGAGGAAGCAGTCACGTTGCCCCGGTCCCGGAGACTCTGGATGCAGGGCTCAGCACAGTTTATCGTCTCTAAGCCCGGATGGGAGCTTGGGGACAGCCTCGGGTTTGGACGGAAACCATGTCTCCACTTCACGCACGAAAATCCATTAGCTGACGGTTCATGTTATCGTGTACAGAGGGCCAAATCGCAGGATCCACATCCTAAGTCATCAACGCCCACGCTTTGCCGAAACCGACGCCGATACCGCCCGAGCCACTACACATGCTGATCATAACCAACAAAACATGCAAGACATAGAAAAATATAAGACACAACCCCTTACTAACCGGAATCTTCTCCATCAAACGGCGCTTGATACCCATCGTCATGGTGGTCATAGAACTAGGGCAAGAACCGCACGCTCCCTGTAGTTTTAACTTGACGACTAGACCATCAATCTCGATAAACTCAACATTACCTCCATCAGCCATCAGATAGGGACGGACCTGCAAGGGCAGGCTACGCACTCCTAGTCCGAGGCTAGGACCATCTATTCCAAGCCGCACAGTATACCTCATCGAGGACCAGTTCCACATTCTCAGGCGTTAACTCCATCATTTCTGTCTGCTCTTGCTGTACCGCGAGCGCCACAATGGCTGACCGACGGAGTGCGGGGCCGCCTAGACGTGGGACAGCCCCGACTGAACCCGTTAGTTCAGGAACCAGGATCTGTCGAGCGCTGTGTGACGCCCTTGTAATTGGGAAAATTGTAACCTGTCTTGCGCATCGCGGGCTCACGCTTACTCCTGTGTGGTTGTGTAGCAATACAGAGGCCATTGTGTACCAAGCCAAATGCTTCCTATGCGCTTAACAATTGGAATGAAATACATAAAAATATGAATTATGGTTGACCATAAACCTGATGGAAGCAGTATCATCCGTAAAGGGTGAGTCCGCTTATGGAAAGATCACCAATGGACGACGGAATGCAGCCAAAATATGTACAAACGCACACTTTGCGATATAAAAAATTTCATTAAGAGACCATTAGTTCACGGCCTACATTTCTGTAAACCTGCACCAACCTTTAACCGAAACGGCCATTGTCTCAATCAAAGGTTACTCAAGGCGATCGTACATACCTCTCTACGATGAAAGAGCTCCTTCATCGCGACAGGCGTTTCCGCGCACCGTTACGGGGCAACGCACCAGCCGCCGGACAGAACGCCGCTCAGCCTGCGTTCGTCCCTGCGCGTCATCCTCCAGTTGTTTGCGATACATATAAAAGAGGGGCTGCGTTGGCTCCGGCATCGGCCGTCCTTACTAACGCAGCTGCCTCAACATCCGGCGCGGACGAAGCCACCAGCAGCAGTCGGCAGTCGACGCCAGGGCGCTGGCACCGTGCAGGCAAGCGCTTTTTCCCTCCTATCTGCTGAAGGGAATTAGCCCCATAGTGTATGGGTTCCCCATGTACGACATGGCCCAACCAACCCTTTACATGCACACTTGACGCGAGGCCTGTTATAAGACCTCGCTGCGCCTCAGCAGGTCGATGTCGGCTTTCGTCAACAAATGGGCGTTTCACAATGGCGACATTTCCCGGTTCCAGCTTCCGCTCACATTCCGCCAGCACTGTTGCCACGGCCACCGCCGCCGCCGCGGCGTCGTCCTCATCTTCGGCTGGCAGTAGCACGGTATCCAGCGATGAGGTGGGCGGGGAAATGAAGGGGGACACGTCAATCCGCTAAGCCCGAGTGTTTTTTTCGTAGACTGTACTGCTGTGCACCTGGAATCTTCCTAGGAAGACTGAAACTTATTTTGCTGGCAAGTACACCCCGGGCGGTGTCGGGCAGAGCCTCTGATTTCCTGCGGATATAGCGCGCGGGGTGCGACACCTCGTGCGCATGTTCTGCGGCGCCTGCACCGTACCTGCTGTCCGCGCGTTGGCTGATTGACACTGTGCGATCCCACCTCTTCCCTATTTGCCTTGTGCCATCTCCTTTTTCGTCAGTTGGTGAGCCCCAAGAGGGAGGCCCAGCTGACCCTAGAGCAGTACAAGGAGATTTATGACAGGCTCATTGGGATCTTCCAGACGCGGCCCCGAGATGACTGGAAGAAGCTCATCGTATTCAGCAAGCAGTGGGATCAGCACTCACAAGGGGTGCTGGACAGGTGGGCATGGGGTGGGGGTGGGCGGACTCCCTGCTGTTGCTCCAGGGTTGGCAGCTGGCGGTCGGTAGTGCAGGATGAGTTGGATAGTTGCAGGTCCAGGCGGGGTGCGCTTGAAGTGTTCAGGCGGAAGGGGTTTACGACGGTGTACTAACGGTCACACCAGCACGGCGTCGTGCTGATACAGCTGCCGCTTCTCCCACCCTGCCTCTCTTCCGGGCCCAGGATTAAGGAGCTGGCGGACCGGGAGGCGGACGTGGATAAGAAGATGGGACTGAGGAAGCTGTTCCGGGCGCTGCAGAACGTGGGGATTGAGGGAAAGGGCGGGATGAGGCCAGGGGTGGGAGGAGTGGGAGTCTCTGGTTGGGTTCGAAGGCACGTGGGAAGGTGCTGTGTACCTGGGTGGTGATAGTGATGATGTGGGCAGTCGTGATGGCAGTGGGGATAAACCTCTGCAACCAGGGGAGATGGTTTGGGTTTGGGGAAGGGACGAGAGCGTGGGATGCGGGAGGAGGAGGTGGACAGCGACTGCACCGCGGACCCGCAGTGGGCACGAAGCGTGAAGGGTTTGTGAGAGGCGGCATATAATATCTAAGATCGCACAGACTGGCTGACGACCTAGTGCATCGTGTTTAAGACATCGTTGCGGTTCGCTGATTTCTCTTCGTTTAGGTGCCGTTGCCATCGCAACGGTGCCCATCGCTGCTGCTATTGTTGGTTTGTTTACTTCTGCCATCGCCACTGTTCATGTTGCTGCCGCTGCGTTCGTCCTTTCCCCGGCAGGTGAACGACGAGGTGTCCCGTTACAACCGGGTGCTGCTCAAGCTGGCTGACGCAGCTGATGACGAGTGGGATGCCATCGTGGCGGCGTACCGGGGGGACCTGCAGAAGCCTTTCTTTGAGCACATGCAGTGCCTCATGGTGGCGGCCAAGGTGAGCTCAGGGAGGGTGAGGGCAGGGCGGGGAAGGGGGAAAGGACTGGACCCCGGGAAGGAAGGGGTTTTATCGCTGTGTACGGGAGGGAGCTGAGTCGTCCCACAGCTCTATGCATCCACAATGACCCACTCCCTCACCGCCGTCAATGTGTGCGTGACCCCGCATGGGGCAGCTGCGGAATTCGGATGTCCCTCAAACCGCGGTATGTATCTGGGCAACGCAGCACGCGTGTAGCCACCGCGTGATTTGTTTGCGGGACCAACTTTGCGCCGCTCCTTCTGCGCCCAGCTGTACTAATACCATTCCGACTTGTTACAATCATCAACATTGCCTCGTATTTAGCAGCAGCTTCCTAGGAACCTGGTCCTGCTGGGCGCCATGGCGGCTTGCTTGGGTTGGACTGCGGTGCCCTGATGTCTACTTTTCTTTAGTTCCTCCCTTGATGTGTATGTTTTGCCCCATCCCTTAGGAGGACCCCTCCCGTCTGGACCAGCTGGTACTGATCAATACCCGCCTGGTGGCCCTTATCGCCAACCATGATGCGGTGGCAGCAGACCAGGACAAACTTGATGCGGCAGCGGCGGTGTACCGCGACCTGCTCTCGTCGGTGGGTGGGGTGGGGCCCAACGGAAACGTGGTAGTGGCTTAGGAAGTCATGATGCGCGATTAGATGTGGCCAAACAATACCTCAAACATGGTGAAACCGAAGAAATCCTCGATGGTCTTCCGCATACATAGTTCCTCCGTGGACTCGGTGGGTCTTTTTCTCTCAGCTTCCTCCCCTTTACTGGACTCCTTGTAGGTCAGCAGCATGGAGGACCTGGACAGGCGGATGGCGGAGCTGTCGTCCGCGGGCAAGATCGACCCGGCCTTCCTGCAGATCTCTGCCAAGGCGTACGGCGCGGCCCGCGACACGAACATGACTAAAGACGAGGCGAAATGGGTGGCATACAAACTATATCGTACGGTGAGGCATTAAGACTGGCCCCTCCTCTCCCGATTCCCACCTACATTTGGATCTTTTTGAAACGCAATGCCTGTTGAGGGACAGTAAGTAGAGAACCTGTGTCACTCCTTCAAACACGGCTCTTGAGCTGCTGCTGCCGTGCGCTTGTTCCTTGACGAACTCCGTGCCACCGCTCTCAGGCTCGCGACTATTTTGACCGGCAGCAGCCTGCTGAAAAGCGCATCATCGAGTACCTCATCAATGTGACTGACCCCACGGAGCGCCGCAACATGCTGGACCAGGCCGTCACTCCCGGGCCTGTGAGAGCCACGGAGACGCATGACTACCTGTACTCCACACCGCAGGTGGGTGGTGGCTGGGACAGATGGATCCCAGGTGGATGAGCGATAGGCGCGTGCGTGCGACGCTATTACAGCAAGATGAATGATGAAGGTAATTGTCAGTTGCCCGTCCGCGCGGCGTCCACAGCTTAAATCGGCGTGACGGCGGCCTTCGTTGCCCAGCAGGTAGGCAACCTGGATAATATTTGTAAGGTCCGGATGCTTGGCGTTGTCGCATAGCTTGGATATCTCCGAGACCCAGATTCTGGAAACTCTGTAAATTTCCAAAAACGACCTTCTACAGACTTGCCTGGTGTAACACCAGACAAAAAGTACTCAGGGAGATGTCAAGCGCGCCTAGCCCTTCTCACACCTGGTCGCCGAACCAGCAGCCATCGCATATCACCAGGGACACCCACGTACCTTCCCCTCCCTCTTTTTCCTCCATGTAGCGGTTGTTTCTGGTTCTGGACAACACTCTACGGGCCTACTTTGCGATGCGGGATGGGGCCGCTAAGAACCTCAACACTCCGGAGGCCGCTGTTTTGCCGCGGAAGGTGCGTCATCCCCTCCTGTGCTATGGAGCTTTCACGCGGGAGGGAATGGGCGGGGGGGGTCTGAGCTGTTACCAGGGTCCTGCTTGGTAGGGTGTGAAAGGTTAATGACGGGACGGGACAGAACGGAAATGGAGCCACCGGGCCAGTCCGAACATCCTGCCATTCCTTCACTTTTGAGTCCGCATTGCTGCTCGCGCTCCATTCATCTGCCCTCATATGGCGCATCTCATCCGCACACAGGTTCGGGTTATGATGGAGTTGCGAGACGACCTCATCCGGCGATACCTATGAACGGCTAGGACATGACTTTCTGCGTCCTCTCCTATGGGCGCCAGTGTCCAAGGCCCAGGTCCTTAGCCGAACACGGCATTGATGAATAACCAGCACGGATATCGGATGCCCTGCCCGGGGCGCGTTGGAATAAGGGTAGCGCTGTGGTTTGGGATCCGGTTGTCGACCCATCCTTGACGTATGTGCGTTAAGCTAGCGCAACGAGGGGCAATTAATTTGTTGCTAGGTTTCTGTCGTATGGCAGTATGGCCGACCTTGGAATTGTTTCGCCTAAGGGGCACATAGATAGCAGTGCTCCTTAGGTGTACTGCTACCCGTGAAAACCAAATGTCTTAATAGGTCAACGCTGGTGAACATAATGTTCTTCTTTCTGGTACAATTATTTGAGAGGACGCAGCGCAAGCTTGGAGATACAAAGCAAGGTGCAATACTTGCAGGCGGAAGCTGCTGGGCGGAGACCCGTCACGAGTGATACAACTGTCAAGTTGCAACCTAAGGCATGACGACCTTGAACATCACACTCTAAGTTCTATGCAGACGTCACCCTGTATGCTCCTCGGTTCCCCTCAAAGTTCATCTGCAAAGGCATTTATCGACATTTTATCCCCTGGCAGTTGTTTGCTTCTTCATTAGCAGCAGGCAAGATCCACGTCAAAATGTGCAAGCATACAACTTGCAATTTAAGGATGCACCTTTGGGCTAAACTTCGGTTATGGGCGCCTATGTCACGATCGCTAGCAACATTTTGTCTCGTGCACAGGCCCCACCATTCCTGCACGCGGTTGCCCGCCAGGAGGTATGTTGCGCAGTGATTATGTACAGTGACGTACAGTAACTAACGACACCTGCAACCCCCCTCCAAAGAAAGCACTCCCATCTTCGTGCTCAACAGGAAAGATATGTCGTGATGCTTTGCTCGTCGGATACGGATTTCCCGGAAGGAACAAATAATCGTACCTCAGCAGCTCACTGCTTACACTCCACTTGCCCTGGCGCATTAACAGCTTCAGCCCGCCCTCCCCCAACAAACTGGGATCTGGTACATCCGGTTACCCTTGTATACGCTGCACGACAGCCACGGCGTGTGTCTGCACTTGTACAGCTCCCGGGAAGTGAAGCAGAGCCAGCAAAACTCTTATCGCTGCAGAAAATCTATAATAGACTTACCATTGATACTGTTTCCGCGCCATCTAATGCATAGCAGCCCACGCTTACTTCTGACACACAAGGCATCGCCAGCGCTCTTACGGACGCGGGCCTGGACCAATATCACCCTTACAGTTTGCAAAGCTTAATGCTCCTGCTACACTTCATCAGTCCTGCTGTAAGCTCAAGCCGCCGCAGCCGTCACTGCAACCTAGCCGCTGGGCTTCTCGAAAATTTGTGCACATTGCAGTCCAGGAAAGACACAGAAGAGACACAAGTCCAGTCGTTATGGCGTTACAAAAGTTCCACCAAGCACGAGTCCGCTCTCATCATTCCAGCAAGCCGCAACTTTACAGGCCCAGCTTGGTACGGCGCCAATGCCGCCTCTTGGCGTTGTAGCGGATGGTGTTGTCCGTGCGGAAGCGGATCCAGTGAGGAATAGGCCGATTCTGCTTGGCCTTCTTCGCCAACTTCTGCTTAATCTTAAAAGTCTTGTTGGACGGCATTTTTGCAGCCTTCGGACAATTGTCGATGCGCACAAGAGAGGGTTAAGAGCACAGCCGAACTCAGCATAGAACCCCGGTGTTTCCACCGAAGTGGGCCTTGCGCACGCCGTACCTCCACAATAAAGCTTGCAAACCAAACTTTGCTATTAACGGGCTAAATAAGATAAAGTTGATTCATAGTATGTAATATGTTAAAAACCGTGCCTTGGGTATAGGCTTGAGCTTGAGAGGCAGGACAACGGCTTCAATGACAGTTGGGTTTCTGGGAGCATGCCGACAAGTCGATCCGTTTTCCTTGTAAAAGCTGCGATATACCGTTCAGAACTTGGGCTAAGTCTTGGCTACAGGGCGTCGCAGAGTGTACCAAGCATACCCATTCGTGCACGCCCATAACAAACCAGCTGTCCTTTCTTAGCACACGTTCGCGTAAAAAATACCGCGGTGTGAACTAGCAAGCCAATCTTAGGCAAGATAATACAACATAGCTCTGGAATGAACCTTCCTCAGCCACGACGAGGGCAACGGGCCTACTCTCCCTCCTCGAACGCGGCGAGCTTTGGGAGCGGGTTAAGTTTTGTGCCTCCCGAATTATACCGTGCAGTATGCCTTACACATGCTTTCGTCTATCCAGGTCTTCATACGTTAACGAACCAACGAAGGGTTGCCGAAGAACACACAGTCGTGGCTTTGTTGTAAGGCAGTTAGGGCGCGCGGCAAACAAAGCGACATTTACAAACCGAAGGTGTGCGAGGGTTTTGAACCAGACAGCTTCCTATGCGACATGGACACCTGGGTTACTGCAAATCTGGGTGCAGCGCACCTGTCCGCCACCATTTATACACATATATCTAGACATGTGATTTTCCTCCGCACCTGCGTATACGTCTAGTAATCATTTAACTGCATGCCCTTGGCTTTTTAATTCACGTCACTATTTCGCTCAGTCATAAGGACCCATCGATGGCTCCCATTGCAGCGCGCAGCGCATGCACACCAGTTCAGGCCCACGCCATGGAAAGCCGCTACAGAGCCCGTCACCCTGTCAGCTACATGGCCGGCACCACCACCACATCACGCGTTAACTGCAGTACTAGCTAAACGACCTCCCTCTTTCCCATGAACAATGTCAGAAGGGCGGAAGCTATCTAAAGGCTCGTTCCCTTGACTCCTTCTGACCACCCAGCGCCTTCGCTGGGGCCCCGACGTCCATGGCACGGTAGCCTGCCCTATGCTTTACCCAGCAGCGCAACTCGTACGCAGATCTCACAGGCGACAGGCGCCTGTATTTGTCGCGTGCAACCCGCGTAGTTACACGCCGCCAGTCAGCGGTCGTCCTGACGGTATAGGAATAAGGGAGTTCCTCTAGACATCCGTGTCATTTCCACTGTACGGTACCCAAATCGACGCATGTACATTCACGTAGGATAGTGTAAATAGGCACCGTGTAAGTTACGCTTGCCCAACAGCCAGAAGGCGCGCACTAACCTCGGGGCATCCCACAATCAAACTCATAATGAGTACAAATCAGCCCAACCTCCCAACCATACACATCTTCCGCCATTGGGATCGCTCCCTGAAAATCCTGGCCCATTCTGTTCACGCCTTCTAGGATTCCGCCTCGGCCTCTGCCTCCCATGTAATTGTCATGATGGAGAGGTGTAAGGATGAGAGGTGTAAAAAGAGCAACTAGGCCACCTCGCCTTCCATGCTGGCAGGCATAATCCTTACCCCAACACCCATGGCGCTCAGTCGTCCTGGTCGTAGACCCCGAACACCTCTTGCAACGCATGCACCTCGCGAGGGCTTGAGCTACTGCTCAGGGCCAGGCGCATCCTGCAGCCACCGTAGCAACTCTTTGCTGCTGCTGCTGGCAAGCTGCATTGCAGTGTTAAGACCCGTCCGCGGCAGGACAAAGTTCTTCATGAGTTATGCCAGCGCCATTAGTAGCAGGACAGCAGCGACAGCAATGTTCTTTTCGTGCTGGCATATGCTGGCAATATACACCCTCCTGCCTGTCCGACTGCCACGCGCGCCTTCATGCGCGGCTGGGGTCTCCAGTTGTTCGGCAGCTTTCTAGAAGGGCGGCGGGATTCGCAGCGTCTGAGCGAGCAAATGGTGTCGTGCCCGGAAAAATGTGTCGATGCAAGCTCGGGGCTGCGCCGTCGTGTCTGTTATACCGGTGGCGGCCGCGGCGCCCGCGCTGTCCGCATCGGCAGCGAGTGCCCAGGCAGCATCAAATTCGTCGTCCGTCAACGTGAGACCCGCCTCCCGGACCAACTGCCGTATGTCCTCCTTGGGCCTGTGCGGTTGCATGTGCGGTTGCAAGGAGGCACCCGGGGTTACGGGCGCGGGGACATTGCAGCTTGACTCCCTCCTTCCGCACTCCCATGCCAGACTTCCCTCGAACGTTCCCCAGTCTCGCCTTCTGGCAGTCTTCCAGCCTCCTCCAGATATTGGCCTTTTGCTTCCCTCCTTCCAAGCACAACTACGGCCCTGCCGCGCAACTCTTGCCTTACCTTAGGCCCACGAACTGCTCATCCGAGATGCCCAGGTCGGCGGCGAGCGGGGGCCGCAGCACCTGCCCCGCATCCGACTCATTGCCGTAATTTTGTGGGTCCGCTACGGATCGCAGCCGGGGCAGTCGCAGGTCAGTGCGGATGGTGGGAATGCCGAAGCTGCGGGCTTCATCACCGGTCTTGCTCTGGTTCCTGAGGCGGTGTACCGGGTAGGGGAACGGGAACAAGGGGATGCGTAAGGAAGGGCAAATCCAAGGAAAGCCGGGAAGGTTACCAAATGAGTAAATGCGAAGATGGCGACGAATTACGAAGCACCAAAGCGGGAGAAAGGTAAGTACAAGGGGAAAACGCTCATTTCTGGCATTGGTGGACGGCCCGCTGGTGGTCCCTGTATTCACTAACGGGCGGCGGCTGCACACGGAGCGCAGCTCTTAAGGTATAGCACACACGTGTTCCCCTAGAATCCCTTAATGCTCCATTTCGGTCCGCGTCAGATGTTCCTTTCGCCTTGTGCACTCTTCCCTTTAAGGACAGCATTTCGGCCATCACCCAGAAGAGGACTAGGCGGAACCTTTCGATCCATACGCATAATCTCTCGTGTCCGACTGTTGCCAAGCTCAAACCCTTACGTCGCGCCCCCAACTACCCGCCATGGCCCATTTCCTTCCTAAAGCCCCCTACGCACTCACCTAAAACCCTCCCGCAGGCTCTTCCCAAGGTCAGCATCCGGCTCCTGCTCCGCGGGGCTGTAGTAGCCTGTCATTAGCTCCGCGACACCTAGAAACCGGGGCCAGGTGGCGAGACGGGACAACGGCGCGGCCAATACCATAGAAAGCAGCAGCAGCAGCTGTAAGAGACGCCGAGCGCAGTTGCGGATCCATTAAAGCCCGTCCATAAGTGCAGAAAGCATGCACGTAAAAGACGTAAAGTTTACCCTAGGACCATGAACCCCGGAGTGTATTAAGGGGCCAGCGATGAAAGGGTTGGGAGTCGCTCTTGGTCACCAGCCTTTTATTCTCCTAGGTAAACGCCTGCGCCTCGTAACCATGTTGCCGATCCTCCCGAAAACGTCCACCGGCATTCGATTGGATGTTTAACCACCCCGCCCTAAGGCATCCTCTCAGGCGCCATCAGGCGCACATCTCGGGCTGTGGACTTAACCGTGGCGCATGACCACTAATCACCCAGGGGCGGACTTGAATTCCTACAGACGAGCTGGGGTATCCAGGATGCACTCCCTAAACCAAATGTGACCCGACCCGGATTCGAATCTGCAATCGTAAATCCTCATCCTTAAGGAATCCTTAAGGAATGGCTTTTCCGGCAACGCATGAACGTAATTAATCTGTAGCCTCGTGAACAAAATGCCAAACCTGCTAACCTCCACACATCTGCTCTGACCATGGTCACGCTATGCACGGCGGGAAACACGCAACGGCCCACTCGCTAACCCCCGTTCCCCATTCACGGAAACGCATCTTTGGGCGCCCTTCTAAACCTCGTCCAGTTCAGTCCGGCCCCAGTTCAGTTCACACAATGAGCTCCAGCGCAGCAGGTCCACAGGGTATTCGGTCCATTTGCCAACGGCTTACCTGCCTCCCGGCCCTTGCGCATAGATGGCACCCCGAACGTGTGGGTGGGCGGAAGGCAGCGGTCCCCTGTTCCAAGCTGGCGGGGCTTTCCCAGGTAGTCCGTGGCGGTGGCTTTGTAGTCCTCATGCAGCTTGGGCAACACGCGGGGGACCTGCGAAGCCGGAGGCCGCAGTCCCAACGAAGAGGGAAAGATGAAGTGAGTGACCGCGTGTACACACGTGAGAACGAGTTGGAGCCACACGAGGAGGAGGATCACGAGTCCAAGTTGGACGTGTGGGAGAGAGAAGGGTCGCAAGGAATGAGGCTAAAACGACGTGGACAACAAGAACCGGGTGTCGCGGGATTCTCCATCACACACCTGCGCGGTAACTATGTGTGGTTATGGTTCCGACTTTTGTTCACCCTAGGACCTGGGCTTCCAAAACCGCCTCTAACCTTCCCCCTTTCAAACCTCAGGCTGCTTTTCCCCCGCAAGGCCAGGCATACCCCACCGCGCCAATCTGCCCAGCTGAAGCGAATTCCTCGGCTTTTCCGGTGCCTAGGAGCCAGGACATGCCACGTCGCAAGCCGTCTCTTCCTATTGCCTGCGATTCTCCCCTTACTTCGGGCCCTGATCCTGGCCTTCTTCCCTCCCCGCCTTCTGCCCTATCCCTCCGTCGTGCTCACCTGCAGGGAGGGGTCCAGTGTGGGCTGCACGGCCTTGCGCACTCCGTCCCGCTCCGGGTTGGGCTCCACCGCCCCGAACCGGTGGGTCACCGGGTCCACTCCCGCCTTCGCCCAGTCGTAATTGCGCCGCCGCTGCTCAGCTGCGCAGGAGGGCGAAGTCAGCGAGGTGGGCATGGAACGACGGATCCGATATGATGCTCCGTTTGCAGTGTAGCAGCCGTCGTGCGAGGGCGGCTCCTACTCAACGCAAGAGGCCGGACGCAGCGGGGGTATATGGGTAAAACTCCCTGGGCTCAGCCAGAAGGTTCCCAAAGCATTAGTGGGGGCCATCCCAGGAATACGGCCGTCCCGTTGAGCAGCGTCTGATCCCATCGTCCGCCCGTCTGTCCCGCATGGCCCAGCTCCAGCTGGGGCCATGGCAGGGTACTCCCCGTGCCCTTTCGTCAGCAGCGAGAAGCCAGCAGCAAACCCAGCGTGAACGCACTCTTTGGGCAGCACAGGTCCCTGTCCAGCCAAAGCGGAGCTCACAACTCTTGATTACCTGAAGCTCCTCCGCACTCCACACCGGTCCCCAGTGCTGAGTGCCCCTTCCTGCTTTCTATGTCCTACCCACCATCCCGTGACCCAATATTGCGTTTCTTCACCAGGACTACCTGCTCCCAGTGGATTATTGCAATGCATTTGACTTTATTGATCTCTGGTGTTCCGGGTCAAGGAGTCGGTTCCACCATAGCAATGCATTACTGGATGATGTTTCCAAGTAACCATCTTTGGCTGGTCCCTTCTGTCCTGGAGCCTTCCTGGCTCCCCCGGCCGACACATTCGACATGAGCGGTCTCAGCGGGGCTCCCTACCTAGTCGATCCAACTCAAACCTACACAAGCCAACCAGGTATGCGCAAACGGCAACAAGGCTAGTTCCCCAATCCGCGCCCCCCGGGATGAGAAATCCCTCCCAAGGCGCCAGCCCTCCATGCAGGGTGCGACAGTCCGATCGGGTCCCGACAGGAATGGCACTTGTGCTGAAAATCCCGACAGGCTTTGAGAAATGCTTTCGGGCGGACCCGACGAAAAAGGGGGAAATGCCAAACGGCCATCGGGAGCCCCCGACAGGGCCCGGAGGGCTTCCGTCGGGGGACCCGACAGGGTTAGGGGCGCTAGGACCGCCCGATCGGGTGCCGTGGGTCGTCGGTTGGCCCTTCGGCGACGGACAGCTACAGCGATACATAATGGCATTCATAAAAATATAACTGGATGGAAATATGTAATGAAGTGGTAGCAAAACAGCCAAATTTCAAGCGGCACACAGCGAAATTTCGTTCTCGCGTCACCCGACAGGTTTTGGGATGGGCTATCGGGGCAACCTACAGAAATTGAAAGATATGCAAAAACGCTATCGGGTGGGCCCGACGGGCATGGGAAGGGGAAAACCGGCAACCCGACCATTTCAGGAAGGTCCTGTCCAACCCTGCCTCCATGCCCACATGGAAACCGCCGTCCAGCTGATTAGGCAAGGCTCCCATCACCCAGTGCCCAGATACTTACCCGGCGCGTAGTCGGCGTGGCTCCGCACGTACATGTTGCGTATCCCCGGGTCCTCCTCTGCAGGCTTGTCGGTGGGGAAAATGACTGTCGCTGCCTGGCGAGCCAGTTCCTTGCCCTGTAGGGTTGGGGTCGATGTATGGTTGGAGGAACGTGTGAGTGTCGACATTGGTGGGTGGTACGGCAAACTATAAATTCTTAACCTTGCTTGAAAACAATTGCTTTGATGGGCTTAGATGATCACGCAGCGGCGGACACACTGTAGGCTGGTTGACAGGAAACCGGACGCAGGTGGTCAAACAGCCGTACTAAGGCGGCCAGGTGGTGAAAGCGGTCAGCGCGCAACGGCGAGGGCTGAAGATTGAAGAAAGGCCAGAAATGGCCTTGCCTAAAGAACTTCTTCTCGTGCTGATTGGAGACCATACTCGTATTAACACGTATACCCGGCATGGAGCAGACAAGTGGACCTAGTGGACAGGCAAGTGATGCATGCCACGCTTACCCGAGAGTCGTACGCAATGCCGAATGGGCGCTCGGTCCCCAAACCGGCAGGGACCTTGTGACCACGAACATATCCATGGCCCAAGGGCTCTCGTTGTGAACTGTGGTGAACAGCGGTAAGGGTACTTTTAAAGGATGGCTCTTAACCCTTAGGTTAACCCTTAGGACATTATGGCGTAACCTCGGCCGCTTACAAACTAAAAGAGGCATTTGTTAACGCGAACGAAGGAACCGAAACTCAGCCAGGCGAAACTACCTTGCGTAAATTGCTTCCGCCTGCTCCAATTTCCAACGACCGAGCTCCGACTCCGGATACGTATTGATGGCCTCCGTTATATTTTGGCCACCAGCAGCGGCTGTCTTAACACCAAAAGGACCCGCCGGTACTGGGTCCCCCGCAAGGCCAGGGTGACGGACGATTTTGCCCGGTTCATGCACGGTGCTTTGCCTGTACTTTTTTATTGTTTCAGGAGTCTGAGGCCGCTTTCCTCCACTCCAGGTCAGAGCGTCGTTCGCGCTTTCATCGAACTTGTTTCTGATACCCGCTGGAGGAATTTGTGGTTGGGTCATGTCTGTTTCATAGTTCGTGCGTCTAAGTGACTGTGTTGTCAACATTTCTGCTGCACGCTGGGTTCCTAGCGTCGCGCGCAGATAAGCTCAGGATAGTGTGTTGTATATACGAGAGGATTACAGGCAGGGGTATTTAGATTAACGGAAGCCCCAAATGCAAGCCTTCGTTTCAGGGCAAGATGCAACCTTGTGGACACCTAAGGAACACCAGGAATGTGTCGTACAGGGCTATAAGCATGAACATATTGATAAGATGTCTATGCTACCCACAAAGTGGCTATTTGAGTTCAATACGACCGATGGTTTGTAATTATTTTAGCTGGAGTACCGGTCTACCGAAGAACCGGGCCGCAGCGCAACTGCACAACGGATAACGAGCAACTAGATCCCCCTATTAGGAGCAGACATCGGCAAACGGGGTATTTCTGGTTTAGGGAACGGGTCTATTTCTGTCTTTCAGTACAATAATTGTTACAGGGCCGCGACCTGTTCTTCATCATTGACCGCGGACTTAGGTCGTCAGGCGGCCCTTCGGGCCGCATAACCCTTTTCGTATACGGCGTATGATCCTATTTCTGCAAGCCGGCCGGCTTCGGGAACTCTACTTATGTTTTCGGGAGTTTAGGTACGACCCGAATGGGTTCAGACTCTGACCTCTTGAGCCGTTGAGCGTTGAGTGCCTCACCTTTGACCTGACATTCTGATAACGTGGCGTGCTAACACCGATGTCACTTTCTGTCCGGCGTGCAAGTCCGCCTGAGGCGCGGAAATGCTGGCTAGTGGGGATGGACGAGCGCCGTAATAAAAAATTGGTTCTTACACATAACCTTGTTTTATTGGCCAAAGTTGGATGTATTACTCATTATAAACGACAAAGAACTCAACAGTGTCACCTTTATAAGCCAAGACCTCAAGCCATCATAAGCGTGGCCAGAGGTCGGCAAATCGGTTTCTACGGCTGCGGGAGGGCATAATTTCGGTCAATAAACCTAAAAAAAATTTGGCGCCTTCCGGCGCCAAAAGAGACAGCATTTCAGGGCTCCACGTCCCGTACACATTGCAGGGGGGGCAAGGGTTCGTTGCCAAGCAAGTTCTTGCGCCATGAAGTTAGCATCGCCCCCGAGCTATTCATCGCCGACCGCATGCGGTTGAAGCGCGGGGCGTGAAGGATATTCTCGACCTTATCGGTGATATGCGTGTAAGGTGCATCCTAGTGGAGGACTTGTACTTGGCCATCGCCCCCTTCAACATTGCATCCTCCTTCTTCAAGGACCCGACATACTCAGCTTCACAAAAAGACCTTCGTTGAACTTAAGCCGGTGATGTTTGGTACTTTAAGCCAGTCCATGTATTCACAGATCGTTGGGAAGTGAGTGAAAGGCATGGCTTGGTACAGGACCATGTATGCGCCACAAAACAGAGCCAACAAGGGATTGTCGGCAACCTCGGTCATGCCCAGGTGCTTGTCAGTTTGCTGTTGCTGCTGATCCTGTGTGTACTGGACTACAGCCGCTTTGTGGGAGTAGGAGGCCTCGTGCCGGGTGTAAGCTGAGCGATCCCAGTTCGTGCGGGAAATGGTGGCGTTACCCTCCTTATGTGTGTCGCAAAAAAACAGATGACCGTCGTCGAGCCCTGAAGTGCATAGGCCCAGCTCTTGAAATCACCACCACAAGTGTCAGTCAGCCAAATAATGTCCTCGTTGGGATTACGAGGCCGCTCAAACCCGGGGGGACACCAACGGCATCGATCTTATTGGTGGACTTGGTGCGCTTCCGTTGCAGGTTGGCGGTGGCATTGGGGGTGGCGGGGGGCAGGAGTGTTGCCGGCTGCTGTTCGGGAGCGGTGGTGTTGGGGGTGGTGGGCAGGAGAGGTGCTGGCTGCTGACTGGGACCGGTGGCGGCAGTGTTGGCTTGAGTGTGCCTTTTCTTCTGTGGAGGAAGGGCCACGGTGCTGGCGTTTCCGGAGGTGGGAGGTGGTGGTGCTGGGAAAAGTAGACCTGGAGAGCTTCACCGGCGCTGCCCGATGGCCCAAGTAACGGCTCTTCCGCCTCAATATATGTTGCTGGGGGATCTGCGCTGGGACGCTGCGTGGCATTCCCAAAACACATGCAATTCGTCTTCCGCCGCTCCGCAGTCACAAAGCCTGCAGGTACGTGCGGCACGCTCACCGTCACTGGACCTACTAACCCCTGTTTTCCAACAGCCCAACCTGAAGCACATAAGGATTTGGGCAATCGCTGGGAGGGCCGGCCTCCGCGTGAGGGAGCCACCCAGGGTGCGCTCAATCACAGGGCGGTGTTCCCATCCAATTATGGTAACCTACGGGAAGATCTTCTCATCCTAGGTGTACGCCAGACTGATATCGAGCCCGTGCCTAATATGGAGTCCGTCATGGAGATAGATGATCAGCGCGGACTTGCGCAGATCGTATACAACATCTGGACGAAGCTATTAAACAGAGCAAAGCGCCGGACCCCTCACGGGTCCTATTACTGCTGTCACCATTCACTGGTATATGAATGTCGGTCACTTTCCAACAGAGGCGACGCACGTGATAGCCGAGTAGTAAGCCCGAGCTCGCTTACCCTAGTTATGTTTTCTCTCGCATGTTGTTGTTGTTGTTACAGGGTGGTACAGCTTCACCAGTGGCCTCCTTCCCGAGGCAGTTCCCTGCTCTCCCCTGCTAGAGGGGCACCCTAATCCATTCACCCCATCCGACTTCAGAGTGTACTCTTTGGGTTCGGCAACTCACCACCAGCATGTTGTGTTCAGAACTCTTTTCTTTTTACCCTTTTCTTTCTTCTTTGGACTACGCTATAACTCGCTGGCTCGTCTGGGCCTTACGAGCTCTTGCGAGCTTGCAACATGACATATCGGTACGCGCTGATGGCAAAGTCGGTTGGACCCCTCCAGTGAGGCTTCACGTTCAACGCCGGGTGTCCGCGCGGCCGTGCTTTATGCTATGTGCGCATTCAGCCTTTTGCTTCTATACAATTGAATACTGTAAATTGTAAACTGGCCGAAAACAGAGGCTGTGGCACGAAGAGTAGCGCTCGTAATGCTCTGAAGCCTAAACAGAAGTGCACTGTTGTATTTATAATAGCATAACCTCTTGCCATGCACTGACTGGCGCCAGGCCGGGGGTTCGGACGCGCCTGACTAGATTCTACTGGAGGGCGATTATGGCACACTGCCCCATTCTCCCATTCATAAGGCGTCATAGGTTCCGTGGCGATAACTTTAGCCACACTGTAGGCAGTTAAGTTACGAACAAAGCATCTGACGCAGCTCTTGCGGCTCTGCTGGATAACGCTCATGCACCTTTCGACGCTTTGGATACTGGACAGACCACAGCATCAATTCCCTCCATTTCCTTTCATCCACGGCCATCGCCGTGGAACGCGTGATAGTCAGATGGCCTTAGCAATAGGAGCTGATGAATTCTGCCGAGCCTCCATCCGAAAATGAAAACGTTTCTGTTGTACGGGCGTCGTCGTAGAAGGATCCTTTACAGACATCATATTTGCTTGGGTTCTAGATAATATAGTTTGCGTGTATATAATTTCGGGGGCATTATAATAAATCATGCGTTTGTAGGACTGTGTTCTGCGGGTTCCTTGACTAGTTTTAACGCTTTCTGGACAAGGTACTACTGTATTCATATTCAAGAAACACATCTGAGAAAGCATCGCTTAATTTTTTGGCCTTTAAAACTTGTATAACTCAACGACACGATGAAGCGTGCGCGCTCCCGGTATACTTAGAAACACTTTTTGCATGGGCCAAAAGCTCCCGTTGTAGATCTTCTTACAAAAACGCCCATCCTGCCAAGCGGGGATTCGCTATATGGCCAAAGCCTGGACTAGGCACAGTGTTGCTGTCCATGACAAGCGAACAGCAGATTAAGTATCACCCCGCCAGGGGACGCATTCTTCACGTTAACAGACGGCGATGGGCTCGACTTGCTCAAGCCAACGCACAGACAAGGTGGCGCCAGCACCAGCGTCTGCCGCTGAACCCTTCCAATCAGCTGGAAAGTCCCCCGACAGCAGTGTCGCGCCTGGCACGCCCGCGCCGCAGCGCAGCCCCACGCGACCCAAGCTTCCCCCGGTGGACACTGTGAGCGCAAGGGCCCTCATAATTCCTCAGCCGGAGTTGCCCTCAGTAACTAAGAAAAAGCTGAAAAGCGTGTTGGAAGGTGCGGTGTCTGGCGGTAGGGAACGCAGCTGCAGCGCATCGTGGAGGCAAGGCCACGGCTTTAGGGAGAAAGAAGCGCTGCCACACCCAGAAAACTCTTTTCCATGCTTTATGGTCCACATCGTCTAAATGCTTCCCCTTGCAAGATGTCCAAGCAAAGACTTCTCTCCTCTTCCACCCGCTCCGAGATCACCTTCCCCCTTCCGCCCGCCTGCAAGACACATCTCCACTGCGTTTGGAGGCCAGAGAACAGCGCAAAACGCAAAGATACCTACCTTGCGACCCCCGGAATCCCCCAGCACACACCTAGCATTTTTCCCACGCCTTCTCATCCAGGTCTTCAGTGTTTATTCCTCAGGCCTCAACCGCCCAAGCCTCCCCTTCCACGCCTGCCCGCAGCCGAGCCTGAGCTCCCCCCTGCCCTGGCCACCGTGGGCAAGGGCGTGTCATTGCGGGGGTTGCGCAAGTTGCGAGCCGCTATCCGCAAGCACTTCGGCGACGACCGTTACAGCAGTGTGAGCACCACCGATGTGTGCCAGCAGTGGGTCAAGGTGGTGACTGCCCCCGCGGGTAGGTGCCGCCTGGTGGAGCTGCCGGGGCTGCTGGACCCCACGGAGGGGGATGTGGGCCGCCCCATGTACTTCATCAGCCATGCGTGGTCCAATAGCATAGAGCTGCTGTTCAGGAAGGTAGGCAGAGGTGAAAGCGGGAGGGTGGGCGGGGCCGGGGGCTATAATGGTGTGCTTTGGTTGTATGATGGATGCAAGAAAAGTGGGCTGAGGACTAAAGTCCTGTCCTATGGGTCTCTGCGCGAGGGTTTGCAGTAGTGGCCGTCTGGAAGTACCTCGTTTACAGTATTGAGCTGCGGTTGGCCCTGCTGGCTTGCGTGTAGACCGACGCCCTTCCTCTGTTCTCCTCCCCCTCTTCTGTCCACCAGGTGTTTGACTTCCTGGCCTCCGCCGACGACAGTACCCGGGTGTGGCTGGATGTGCTGGCGGTGTGCCAGCACGAGAGCAACCCCGCGCACAAGGCGGACATTGCGGCCTTTGCAGATGTGGTGGCGGCATGCAGTGGGGGCACCCTGGTGGTCATGGACCTCACACGGTGGGTGAGGGGTGGGTGGGAGGGTAGATGGGCTGGCTGAGGGAGATCTTGGCGCACGCAGCTTGATGGCTAGGTGGGGTGGCTTAGTGACTGGGTGGCTAACCAGATATCGGGTGCGATGGAGTTCTGGAGTGGAGGAATGTTGGGGGTTGCAGCTTCGGCCTCAGACTCCCTTCACTCTCGCCTTGACTAGTGCCTCCTTAACTCCTTACATTAGTGCATCCTCGATGCCTCTTTCGTGGGTCTTTCCTATTCATCCCCGGCCCTCCTGCCTCCCACTTGCTGCCTCCTACCCTCCGGGTCTCCCTCCTGAACTCCAACCTTCGCAGCTGCAACCCCTCTACTCGCGCGTGGTGCGTGTTTGAGTGGGCCCACACTCTTGCGGCTCACGGCCCTGACGGACTGCACATGTCCCTGGCCCCGCTGGAGCGCGCAGCCGTGTTTGCGGACTTGGACGTGGAGAGGGCCGAGTGCTTCAGACCGGCGGACAAGGAGATGATCATGCGAGAGGTGGGAGGGGGGGAGGGGCGGAGGGAGAGGAAGAGGCAGGCAGAAAAGGCTCCGCTAGGCTGAGGAGGAGGGTGCAAAACATGGATCGCCACAGACCTGCTGGAACGGCGCTGGGGCTGGATTAGGCAACCAGCTTGGGCCTACTCCTGCAGTCCAACGTTGGTAACCTTGCTGGGTGGGTGGGTGGAGTTTCCTGGAATGTTTACCTGGTTCTGTGGTTTTTTTGCAGCTTGCTGCGGGGTTAGGTGTGGCCTGCGATAGGGGGAGCGCTTTTTCATTCACTTGTTCCTTTGGCTATGTAAGTCGCACGATGAGCTTAGCAGGAGCTGCCTAGAGCCATGACACAGCGCGTGTGTTGTGGTAAGCCAATGCAACCCCAAGGAAAAACGTGTGTGCGTGTACGGGTTACGTGGCCCCCCTCTCTCTCTCCGGGGCCCCTTCTCAAGTCAGGTTCGTCGCCAGCACGGTTCGCCTGAGGCCTTCAACTCCAAGCTCAAGTTGCAGCTGTTGCTGGAGCCGCTCAGCTATTCGGTGGACCTCCGGAGGCTGCAGGACAGGTCCCGGGACACGGCCTGGGAGTTCAGTGAAGTGGAGAGATGGCTGGAGGGGATGTGCTCCCGGGCAGCAGGGGCAGCAGGGGGCTGCAGAGCCATGTGCGTCGTGTCGGGTGGGTAGCTGTATGGGGGGAAAGGAGGGCGGCAAGGCGAGTGGGCGGCGAGGCCTTTAATCGGGGTTGCTGCGAAGGGGCCCAGCACCCCCTCTCACATCACATGTGCCCGCGCGCGCGCGCGTGTGTGTGTGTGTGTGTGTGTGTGTATTCGCATACCTGGCTTCCCTCCGCGACACAATATTGCAACAACTGAACACTGGATGGCCTCCTCGACCTACCCCACTTCCTTACAGTGTGAAGCTGCTCCCCATCTGCGGCACCCGGCAGTCTCTCTCCCCTGCTCCCCTCCGACCACCGTGGTCGAGAGGTCGGTCCCGAATCGGAATGGACACCCACTCTTACCCAACCTCCTTTTTCATAATCTTCATTATCCATTCGCACACTAGCACATCCCATCCCCGCCCTGGCCACCCGCCTGACGACCCGCGTACTGCTGGCCCAGGTGCTGGTGAGGGCAAGAGCACCATCTCCGCCGAGCTGGTACGCCGCCTCACATCGCCCACAGCGCCCCGAGCCTCCGCCGCCACCCCTAGCACCGGTGGCTCAGCTCTGGGCACCCACATCACATGTGCCTACCATTTCCTCAAGTACAACGACCAGCGGAGGCTGGACCCTGTGAGGGTGATCAAGACCATGGCATTCCAACTGGCGTCCAGGTGGGGGAGCAGGGCGGTGAGGGTTAGGGCGGTACGGGACGGGACAGGATGGGCTGTACGGCGGGGCGCGTGGCCCTCTCCATTACCGCAATCCGACCCGTGGCAGTTTCCAACATTTCGTCCCGCGCCGCTAAGGCGGGACCGGCCTGGGGCACCGAAGGGTACCTGCAATCAGAGAAAGCTTAGGACCACCGTGAGACGCGCTCCAGGGACCGCAGGAGTTTGGTGCAGCGCGACACGGCGGCCCGGCAGAAAACCTTGCGCCGCCTCACCGCCACATCAGGCCCCCGGCCATACGCCCCTGGCAGGATTCCCTCGGTCTGCTCTTCACTGTTCGAGTGCGATGTGGCGGAGGTAGCCCAACTCACGGATGTGGACCGGGCCTTCGAGCTGCTGCTGCTGCGGCCGTTGCAAGGCGTCAGACAACCCGTGGTGAGCTAAGGCGAGAAACGTTGCCGGTTCCCTCTCCCATGCCTATTGCCTGGTCAACTTTAAAATCCCTCTTCCTTCGTAGTCTGTGTACTTAGTGTGCTTTGTGCGTATGAGTATTCGCGACGGGCTAATCCCCATGGCATGTCCCGTAGCCGTCCTAAGGCCGTTCACCGTGCCTCTTGTCGGGGCTGCTGCACCGCAACCCCGTTCGGATGTCCCAGGTTATTGTTCTTGACGCGTTGGACGAGGCGGAACCGGTGCCCTTCACCGCACCAGCCGCCCCTTGTGCTGCTGGCAGCACATCTGGCGCTGAAGGTAGCGGCCCAACACCCACCGCCCCCGTCGCTGTGGCCGCCGGCATCCTCAACGGCGGTGGTGGCGGCGGCGCCGGTATCGGTGTCTCTCGCTATCCCGTTCTTTGCGGCAACCGGGCGCTGCAGCTGCTGACCAAGCACCTGCAGCGGCTGCCCCCGGAGGTGAGATTCTTCGTCACCACCCGCCCTGACGCCGCCAGCGGCCAGGTGGTTCCTGCCCTGGAGCGGACATTCCATCACCAGGGCGGCTCCATCTATATGAGGCCCTCGCAGCTCGTGAAGTCACTGGCACTGGGGGCCAGCGCCGAAGGGCGCACTGCAGCCGGCGGAGGTGGCAAAGGCGGAGGCGGCGTCATGGTGTATCACACCGTCGTGAAAGCTTGCCTTGGGGGTGAAAAAGAAGAGGAGGACGGAGACACGTCGCCATCGGCGGCCGTCGCCAGCCCCGACGGCGGTGGGAAGAGCCGCCGTGCTGGTGGCGGCGGCGGTCCGCTGCTGGCTTCCCTACTGGGTGGAATGGCCAGCCCGCTGGCGGCTAAGGCAGCAGCGCTGATGGGCGGCCATAGCGGCGGCGGTGCCGGCGCCAACCTTACGGCGCTGTACCGCGTGTACGGCAAGGTGTTTCGCAAGGCGTATGAGTGGTACGACTTGCGGAAGCGTATGGACGTGTCCAAGCTTCTCAATGTGTTGCTGGCTGCTCAGGAGCCCCTATCCCAGTCGCTGGTTCAGCAGCTGGGTCTCGGTCATGCGGTACCGCTGCTGCCCGGCTTTCCGGTGCTGTTCTACGTGGACGAGCACCACCTGCTCACACTGCACAAGAGCCTGGCGGGTGGGTAGCCCCAGGAGGCTGCGGCGGCCGGCGAACGTAGGGCAGTGTGGTGCGTTGCGGTGAGGTGTGGAGTCTGTCCAGGACTCGCGAGTGCAACAGTAGCCGCATTGCGTATTCCAGAAACTTTCCACGGATCCCACATGTCCAAATCCACGCACTCACCTAGCCACCCACCCATTTAAGCTGCAGCACCTCGGACACCCGTTGCCCCTCACGACCGCCTGTTACGCGACTGACTCCTCAGACTGGCTGCTGCTGGACGCTGTCGTGGGTTCTGGTTCCGGTGCCAGCTCAAGCCAGCTAGATAGCCGCCAGGTTTCAGATAAGAGCATCATGTCATGTGCCAACCCCACGGCCTCACCCACGACTCCGACCGCTGCCAGCAGCACCACCAGCCGCAGCCTCCTTAGCCGTCTGCACGGCAAAAACACCACGACTGGAAATGCGGCGAGTGGAGGCGCTGGCGGCGGCGGCCGTGGCGGTGGGGGGAGCAACAGCATCTTCCAGCGGTCTCGGCCCTCCCCGGCGTCCCGTGCGGCACTGGAGGGTGAGGCTGTTGCTGCTGCTCAGGCGCAGGCGGCGGCTGTGGCTGCGGCCAATGCGCCCAGCCCCTCCTTCAGCATGGACCTGGCGCAGGTGGGTGGGCGAGGGGGGAGGAGCCGCTTTCCTGGGCCCTATCCTTTCCTCTTACCCCCTTGGCCCTTCGAGGTGTACCTTTCTGTCCTTGACCGCCCCATTCCTTCCCGGCTCTCACCCGGGTGTCCACCCAGCCAGCGGACAGTGGTTATTACGTGTTAGGGCCTTATCCCCCAGTGTCTACCTGGAGTCTCGTGTTCGGATCCTGTCAGGGCCTGTACGGCGCTTTGTTCCTGATCCCCTGCACCCTCTGTTCTTCCTCCCTCGTGCTTCCCCCTCTCAACCCCGCCCCTCTACTGCCCGCTGCCTCAGGGTCACCTGCTGTTGGGTCGCTACCTGACCACCACCCGCAACACCAGCCCCTCCACCTACTGCCTCAAGTACCTGGTCACCCACCTGGCGGCGGCGGGGCCACTGGCGGCGGAGCTCCTGGATGACGTGGTGTCCAGCTTCGGATTTATTGAGGTGGGCTGGGACGGGGAAAGGACTGCGTATGTATTGTACTGTGGTGCACCAACCCTTGCACTGCCCTATCCTCTTCCTCGCCGTCCCCATGGTGCCATAACCGACCTAACCAACCGCACCCGCAGGCTGTGTTCGCTCGTGGCTACAGTGCCAATGTGATTCGTGCATTGGGAACCATGGGCCACTCGAGCCGCCTCAGCCGTGACGCCCTGCGCTGGCTCCGAGCCAAGCAGCACGACTTACTGCTGGCCACCTCGGGGACTGCTGGGGTAGGCGCGGGAGATGCGGTGCTGGGTACGGCACTGATGAGCCCCATTGGGTCGGAGCTGTACCGGGTGGCTCTGCGTGCCGCTAACCAGGGCTGGCGGACGAGGGTTGCCGTGCCATCATACGACGAATGGCCGGCGGACCAAGCCGTACTCAAGGTGCGTGTTTGTGGGCTGCGGTGTGAAGGAGGGAGAAGGCGGGCCTGCGCTTGGCGAGCAAGTCTCTTGTGTGTATTTCGGCACGCGCCGCCGTGTCTGCCTGATATTCCCAGCCTTGGCGCCTACAGAGGCTAAGGCCCTTGCCGTGTGCTGCTGCCCGGCCGCTGCACTGCCCTTTTTCCCTAAGGCCACTAAGCGGCTCTGTGTCTCCGCTGCGCCTGACCCCTTCCTGTCCCCTCCCCCCTGCCCCCTGCCTCCCCAAGGGCCACACGGGCAATGTGACATCAGTGGTGTTCTCTCCGGACGGCCGCCAGCTCGTGTCCAGTAGCGGGGGGGGCCACGAGCTGCGAGTGTGGGACATTAGCTCCGGAACCTGCTGCGCCGTACTTTTGGTAAGCACGAATCCGGTAGATGGCTCCGGAGAAAGAACGGGGCATGAGACACTGCACGTGTTTTGATGGCTTCGTTGGCTTAAAAGGGTAGTAACCTGCACTTGCATCTCCCGCCCACGTCCTCCTCCGCCACATGACGCGTGCGCGATGAGATGCGAGTGATGATTATGGTTGCTGCGCTTACCAGCACCATGCTTGGTTGTACCCCACCACTGCGCAGCTCTGTACCCCTACCGCGATCCGCTTAAACAGGGCTCACCGAGGCCGCCGCTCTACCCCTTACGTTACCCACATGACGATATCTCTGCATGTTCCCCTGCAGGGTCACAAGGCCGATGTGACCTGCCTGGCCATGAGTGCCGACGGTCAGGTCATAGCCAGCGGCAGTAACGACATGACGTGCAGGTTGTGGGATGCTGCCACGGGGCAGTGCACCGCCGTACTGTCCGGTCACACAGCCGCAATCACCGGAGTGGCCTTCAGCCCCCCCGAGCGCGGCAAGGCGCTGAGGCTGGTCACCGCCTCCCAGGACGACTCCTTGAGAATGTGGGCACCAGCGCCCAAGAGACCCGCAACTGCGCAACAACAGCAACGCGGACGCAGAGGCAGCACGGGCGGCTTGGCACCGTCACCACTCAACCCCGCCGCGGGCCGCCGGGACGAGCGCCAGCGGCAGCGCCATTCCAGCGGTGGTCTGGAGATGGATGTGGACGTGGCTATGGGGCTGGCGGTCCGAATCAGTGGTGCAGGCGGTGATGACAACGGCAGCAGCAGCAGCTACACGTGTGTGCAGGTGCTCCCAGGGGGGCAGGGGGGGCTGCAGGGGGTGGCCTGGGCACCTGACGGCAGGAGGCTGGCGGGGGCGCATGGCGCGGAGGTGTGGCTGTGGGCACTGCCGGCGGGCAAGATGGCGGTGACGCTGAGCGGTCATACAGGCAAGGTGCTGGGGATTGCATTTAGTCCCAATGACGGCGGACGGCGGCTGGCGAGCTGCGGTTGGGACCAGGTGGGAGGACTTGGGAGGGACGGGGCACGCGTTGGGGGCCAGGCTAACGGTGCTGAATTGGCACCAGGTAGAGAAAACGATATCACCTTGGCAAGCTCAGGAAAGTGGTGGAGTCTGGGCAATAATCAGGTTGGTGATTATGTTGGTGGCCAGGCAGTGAAGCCTTCGCTAAATGCCAGTAGCCAAGTAGGTTGGGGCTGGTTGGCCGGCAGCTTCTCGCCGATTACGCTGTCGAGCACCACAGCTGCCTCGTCCGTGACCCTCTCGACCTGCGTGGTGGTCGCGTCGGTGAAAGAAGGTATTGCAGGCTGTGGCCCCCCACTGTAACCCGTTGGCTAGTTCCATTACCCACTGCCCTTGGATGTGTGTTACACCTTAAGTTGCATGTCCCATTCCAGGCGAACGACGCAGCTGCGGAGAAACTTCCCCAATGCCACTGTACACTGGTGCTGCAGGTGATACGTCTGTGGGATACTAGGACCAACCAGTGTGTGGCGACAGCTACAGGTGCGCGAGGAGGCGAGAGGGAGAGGGGCCTCTGGAGGCGGGGACCGGGTAGCTGAGACAACATTCTCCTCGTGTCCTGTATTTGCCGCAGGAGGGGAGCTAGGATGTAGGCTGCTGTGAGTAAGGGGAGGATTGCCACCTTAGCGTGCCATCACGGGTGGCCTCGTACGTCGTTGGTCAGTGGGTTCAACCCCACCATACTCCCTCGCTCCTTCAGTTGCCCATTCGATCTTTAAGCGTCCTCACCCTCGCCCACATGCAGGCCACTCCGAGCTGGTCCGCTCCCTCTCCTGGAGCCCGGATGGCCGCCGCCTCGCCTCCGCTTCCTCCGACAACACTATGCGAATCTGGGATGTAACACCCACACTGGGTGGAGGTGCAGCCACCACGGCGGCGCCTGCAGTACCCGTGCTGTGTACGGCGTTACTGCGGCAGGCCGAGTGGATGACGGCGGTGAGCTTTAGCCCTGACAGCCGCGCATTGGCCAGCGGAAGTGTGGCCAAGGAGCTGCGGCTCTGGGACGTGGCGGCGTGTGAGGCGGAGTTTGCGGCCACGTGCGCGTCAACAGCGGCAGCTGCCGCAGCTGCAGCGCTGCGATCCACTCCCAGTTCCCGGCTCCAGGGTGCAGCCACCACTGCCGGCAGCGGCGGTGGCGTTGCAAAAAGCACGCTGGACAAGATGACACAGAAGAGCCTCAAGACATTCAGCACGGTAGAAGCTGAAACGGCTGCTGCCATGGCTGCTGCCACTGTGAGTGCCGTCGCACACACCGCCGATGTCACCTGCATCGCGCTCAGCCCCGACGGCTCCCTGCTCGCCACGGCCTCTCAGGACAAGACGCTACGGCTGTACGACAGCGTCAATGCGCGCTGGCTGGCAACATTATCAGGTCATGATAGCTGCGTGACGTGCGTCGCATGGGCGCCGCCACCGCCAGCGCCACCCCTGCCGTTGCGCCCCAGCCAGCGGCAGCTCGCCTCCGTCTCCCATGACCTGACGGTGCGCATCTGGGACATAGATCTAGGTGATGGATCGCAGCCGGTTCAGGCGACCTGCTCCAGAACCCTGTACGGCCACACGGACCGTATCCGCAGCGTGGCTTGGAGCCCCGCCGCCAACGGCCATCTGGCCACCGGTGCAGAGGATAACCACGTGCGGCTGTGGGATACGCTTTCCGGAACCTGCCTCTCGACGCTGTGGGGTCACAGTAACTATGTCACTTGCGTGGTGTACTGCCCAGCGGACGGCGGCCGTACGGTGACGTCGGCGTCACAGGACGGCACCATCCGTGTGTGGGACACGGCCAGCGGCCAGGCCCGGCGGACCCTGCACGGCCACGACCATTACGTCAACCACGTGGCCTACTCGGCGTGTGGCTCACTGCTGGCCTCCGGAGGCTGTGATAACTCCGTGAGGTTGTGGGAGCACGTCAGTGGCAAGTGCATCGCGGTGCTCACAGGCCACACGCACTTTGTCAACTGCGTGGCGTTTGAGCCGGTGGCAGTGCAGCGAAGCGGTGGTGGCACCGGTGTCGGCGGGCCCAAGGCCGGTGGTGCTCTGTTCCGCCGACTTGCCTCCGCGTCAACCGATGCCACTGTCCGGGTGTGGGACCTCAGGGCGCGGCGGTGTGTGGCGTTGTTGCAGGGCCACTCTGGTCCGGTGCATTGCGTGACGTGGGTGCGGGGCCCGGTGGGCCGTGCCGCTGCAGTTGCACCCGGCGGCAAGAGTGGCGGCAAGGGCGGGGTGTCCCAGCAGGCGGTCGCTCCTCCTGAGGTAGCCAGTGGTGCAGCGGATCACAGCATCAGGCTGTGGTGCGAGGAGGCTAGAGCGGAGCAGTAACGGGGACCAGTCCACACCTGGCAGCTGCATCGGGAGGAGGACAGCAGAGAAGGGGTGTGCGCTGGGAGGCGCTCGCCACCCGCGATGCCCAGCCGCCAGCGGTTTCGGCCCAACTGGCCAATTTGTGATGCATGAGGACGACACAGGACCATACAGTGCTATGTATCGACTTGGGGCTTGCCGGAGCATTTCGCGGGTGCCTGACGCCTTAGTGCCATACGTGTAGTCCGTAGGTGCCAGTAGTCCGTAGGTGCCAGTTTAGCTATGAAGGTGCTTGCGACTCGTATTTGCAGAAGCGGTCTGCGTGCAGCGCCAACAAATAAATGGTCGGGGAAGCCGGGTGGGGAACCTGTCGAGAGATTTGTCCACAACGGCAATTTGGTAGATTAAAAGCGACAGCGATTTCAGGATGCATCAAATTGCTTATACCGGTTACAGTCGTAGCTTGCATTACCCTTTGGTTTATCCCTTCGAGGTTTATTCCCCGAAGGAGATGACAAGTAGTAGTTCGGCCAGCGTGCGGTCAGGCGAGAAAATTTGCACAACTGCTGTTTCTTGGTGTATACACATGCGCGACTGCCTATATTGTGCCATGTCATATCATTCTATTCATGCAGTTCTTAAAAGGTACCTAAGGGGTATATGAAGGTACTAAGCTTGGTGGCATTGGAAGTGTTATCCGGCCACTTAATACGACATGAATCGCAGGCCGCGTACTGCGAATTCATACAGGCATTCCTGTGGCCGCAAACGTACACCCTTAAGCGCCCCACACTGGGGTTAACCAAGCTGGGTACGGCGGTTTCCCGTGCTGCAGCCACGCCGCTCCCAGTGCAGCAGGTCGTGGGCAAACTGGCGGCGTGCAGTTGAGAGCGCATGGGGCTAGCGTTAAATGTATCTATGCACGGCTCGTTCATTCTCCTCAATGCCAATTACGGATCTGCAAGTAGTGTTCGCACGACGCCATTTGTGACGAATTTTGCGAAGCGCATGATGAGCCTGCGCAGTTGTGTACTGCCTTGTCGCCGGCTGTTCGGCATGGTTTGGTTGGTGGGTCCGGAGCCTTAACTATTTTTCTTAGGGACCTTCGGGACTAAATAACTACATGTCAGGATACAATCATATATGTATCATTATGGTTGTTCAGGCTTAATAGTTTAAAGCTATTAACCATCCACTTCGCTAACTTTCTGGTCACATTCTTCACATGAGCCCGGTCAGTGGCACGTATGGGTCCCAGTGACAATCCAAAGAATCCAAACAGCGTGTAGATTCTGTTTCTCACTTAAACGTTTCTTGACTTTTATAATGGAAACAATAAAAGGATACACCATCCTTTTTAATATTAAGCTCCCGCCCATCTTCAACATGTCACGAAGTAGAGAATCGTGGGGCTGCCGCTCCACATCCCCGCACTCACGACCGCTCTCTGCGCATGGGTAGAAGGGTGACGGGCATTTATGCGTGCACGTTGAGGGTTTACAGTATGTAGTGTGATGGAGTAATCTGTCCGAAATTATGTTCAGGGGCAAGTCAATCGGGCCATGCAGATTAGAGTATCAGGATACTGTTAAGTAAATATATCTGGCTCAAATGGTGCAACTAATGGTGGACAGTGTGGTTTCTGTCGTGCAACATCATACCAACTGCTCAGAACCACGTCATAATACCTTGCCGGCATTCATTTATAAATACGCTTTTAAGACATGATAAACACCAGGAGGCAAAATGATGCAAAGCTCGCGCCAAGACCCAAGGGACTATGTTTGCAAGCGGTCGGAACAGTACGGGCGCCTCCTCTATTCTTCTGATAAATGCGCGAGATAACAAAAACATCAAAGAAAGCTTTAAATAGTAAGGGACAAGACGTTGACGCTCAGCCAAGCGTCATCACCATTACTTTATTGGTATCAAGCTTCATCTCCTGGCGACCAGCAGGCCGTAATCGGTGTACGGTAAGGGGCACAGGGGCACAGGGGCACAGGACTAGACTCGATTGGGGCACAAGGACTATACTCGATTGCCGACTGGGCCGCACGCCGACGTATGCGGGTATGCCGCTCAGCTTGCAGTCATAAGCCTCAGAGGCCCGGTGGCATCGCTTCCAAGATTCCCTGCCTTACTTAAAGCAGCAGCTGAAGAAGAGTAAGGCTGCTGTGCAGCGATTATGGAAACCACCGCGCAAGGGGGATGCCCACGGTGGCAGGAGCAGCTGGGGGTCTGGACAGGACTCACAGCAATGGCGCGATGGGCCGGCATTGCCGTGCACCATGACCTATGGGTGGAAATGAGCGACCCGTGTGCCTAAACGTCAGCTAGTAATGTCTGCTTTAACCGCAGGAGGTCGCGCAGGCGGACTGACGTCTTTTTATATGTCCGTTTTCCTCGTTCAACATATGGGGGCGAATTTAGTCAGACTGGGACAAGGGTACCTGTACAGGAAACGTGCGATTTCATTTGCTGACATGCAAGCACCATCCTGCCTCGCACTTCAGACAAAGCAAGTGCTAAAGGAGACTAACGACCAAAGGGAACGATAGAGTTGCGGTGGGACCACATACGTTCCAGCATCTTTGCCAGACGTCCAGGTTCCCACTTCATAGCGTCATTCATACGCTCAAAGCGAGGAAAATCCATATCAGATTTGATTTCGCCGTACACCGGACAATCCAGCAAGACGTGCTTCTCATCTCATTGAGGGTTCTTCACCCCGATTCGGGCCCGAAACTTTTTGAGGTATTTCCGTTTTGCCCGAAAGGAAAATTAGTGCGCCCCGGAGCATTCCGAACGGATTTGGGGCCTTTTAGAGCATTTTTTCGGGGACCCCACCGAAGCCTTTTGAAGGCATTTTCGGAGAAAACCGAACGATATGTCGGCGTAAATTTGCATGTTTTCTGGCGCAGACGGGGCCTGGAAACCGGGCTTGCCGTATAAGGCCCGCTTGGTCACCAGTCAAACAACAAGTACAAATGTGCATTGCGGCTGTTTCGCAGCTGTATAGCAGACATTTTCATACATCTAAGCATATCCATATCCCTCATTTTCATACATCTAAGCATATGCATAGTTAAACATGCCCGAGTCAACTGATGATGAGCGCCCAACCAAGGTGCCCCGCATCTCCCTCGGGATTCGCGGCTTCAACAAGCTCGAACCGCCTGTTTGCCATCGATGTCAGCGAACTTGACGTTTTGCAGAAAGAGTTTTCAGTTATGAAGTTATGAAGATAGCCTTGCTTTGGGTAAAATCCTTAGGAGCTATGTTCCAAAATAAAGTCAAACACCTGTTAATTCAGCCGTCCTAGCATATAACAATAGAATCCAGCTAAATTTTACCCCGAAAACCGCTTCGGACAGTTCCGGGGTACCCGAAAACACTCTCCGACTGACAGGAAAAATTTCGTGGAGGGCCCCGAAAGGTTATTCAGAGGGTTTCGGACACGGCCGAACTTTTTGGGTACCCTGGTGAAGAACCCTGCATCTCAATATGGCTATCAGTGCCGCAGCAGGGGCATACCCGCTCCTCCCTAGGTACACAACGCACATAGAGCACGAAGGGGCAAGTACCATGTCCCCCGGGGGCAGCGGTTTTGCCGCTGTTGTGGTACTAATAGCCGAATCGAGGGTGAAAAACACGTGTTATTGGAATGCCCAGCCTATAATGATATTCGTGCTGAAGAGGGATTCGATCATCAACAGAGCATGTTGGAGGCCATGAAATGGGAACCCGCACGTCTTGCGAGGATGTTGGAACGTATGTGGCCTCACCGAAACTCAATTACCCCCTTTGGACGCTAGTCTGGGCTGATGTGCGGTGTTTTCCTTTCTTCCGTGGCTTTTAGGCGTTGTAGTATTGCCCTTGGGCCTTCGGCTCGTATGGGTAGTCTTACAGGTATGGGGTCACGCACCCCCAACCATGTAACACACACACACACAACGCCGTCCTTTGCGCGATCTGTGAACGGCCAACGCCCAACAGCTAAACTGGATGAGCTTACGGTTCGCTGAAGCGGGGATACATATAGTGATATGCGGAAGCACCTTCCTGCCCGCTTATTCAGCTGCCGGGACCCATCAATGCTTCTACTTCGCCATGTCGATTCCCGGTTGCTTACCGTCCGACGGGTACGTGTCTGGCTGGACATCTAGGCGCGTATGTTTCCAACCGCTCATCAACCGATCCTTGAACTCCGAAACCACACCTTCCGGCAATGGCCTATTCATTAGCCATTCCACTCGTTCATCTGCCTCACGTAGCTCTTGGGGGCCCTTTTCAATACGTCATGTCCCAAGAAATCTAGGAAACGGAGGGTTAGTGATCCCCATCCGTCCCCTTCGGGGTTGGAGAGAGCCTCTACGATGCACGTATGCGAAATAGCTTTCTGTTCCGCAGTTATAAGTCCTGACATGGCTAATTGAGCACTGTTTGATCAGGCTGTTGGGTCACCTTCCATTTATATCCCAATTTTTCGAGGCGACAAAATCGCGCCAGCCAGCCAATTTTTGGCCCAGTTCCAAGGGGGGATACAGCAGGGGTGCCATTATCCCAACACGGAAGATAGCCACCAAGGGGAACGCTATCGCCATACTTCCAGATTCCCAAACCAACATGAATAGGAAAATCGAATCGAAGGGAGTACTCGCGAAGTGGGGCACGGCAGGTATGGTCGCGGCATCTAGGGTGAACCCAGAGCCGAAGGAGGGAACCTACAGGGAAAGACAGCGAGGCGGGATGCTGCAAGCGTTGTCCGCGCCGCACAACGACATGGAGCGCCAAACGGATCCAACCAGCCGGGGACGCCAATGGGCGGGCATCAGGGGGAACGCTGGAATGCCAACCAAGGGAAGCAGGCCAGCTTGTAAGCCGATACCACCAGCAGGAGAGACCGGCATGACGCACCCTACACGACACCGAAACACGCTGGGTGCTGGTAAGGGAGTTCGCCGTGCCGTGTTATAAGGTCCACAGGAATATGTCAGCCGAACAGCCTAGCTCTGGCGGATGAAACAGTTGTCAGCCGACTAGCTCTGGCGGGTGAAACAGACAGCTGGGGGATGATAGATGGCCTGAGTACAAAGCCTGTTCCTAGAGCGACAACTTTACCGAAACAGAGACGGGATCGCTGGAACAGCCGAAGCTTGTCTACTTTTTCATGTCACGGGAACTACGTTTTTTACCGGCATTATGAAATTGTCTAAGAAGTCTACCCTTACATATTGAGGCACAATATACACAATATCAGGGACCCAGCCGAAAATTGACCAGGTCTGCGGAATCTTTTTCGTATTCGGGAACCCCTTCGCTGTGGAAACTTGCGAAATCTATATATTGTCTATATAAAGTTATTTTTAGCTCTTTGCATCGTTGCGATAACATGGACAGTCTCAAACACGCTCTTGGCAATGCGGTTCAGTGTCATGGGATCTAAAATTCGGCGGATTCCAATAGTGCTCGTATGTAGGGGTTCCTAAAAGGGAATTTCGGATGTGGTGGGGACTTAGTGACGGGACTCACGTGTGCCCCACACCCTTGCCGGTGTTTACCCTGCTCCCTGCAAGCATTCCCCCCCTCTTCGACCCCCAATCCCCCAGGCCAGAGCACCCTTAACGTAGACCTCCCCCCTAGTGGCTATAACGGATTTGTAGTAGGCGCGGACTTCAGGAGCAATGGCAGGGCATTCCTGGACAAAGTGAAAGCGGATTTCAGGAATATGCGCGCGTTTCCAGTGCCGACGGCAGCCCTTGTAGGTTGCAGAGCAGTTCTTGCTCTTGTCATAAGGTCATCTCTCAACATGTTTCCAAACGTCGGTAGCACGCCTCCCTCCCTTCTTTTGAGCTGAAACACATTAAATCTGACTATATGCCCTAAGGTCGGGGGCAGTGATTGCAGACACTTACCCTAAAGTAATATAATAGTGAAGTAGAGCACGTATGTATATGGCAAACGCAGGCGTGGAATCTGTTTTTGACTTTCCGCCGTACTGCAAACGTGGAAATGCGGATTCTCTTTTCGCACTTCCGTCATTCTAGGCTCTGGCTGCGGAAAGCGGGAAGAAACCTATTTCCGCAGATTTTCGTTTCCGCACGTCTCGGTATCGGCTAGATCCCTCCACAATACCTCCTTGTCGTATAAATAAGGCCTGAAATAACAGGTCGTTGAGTGGCGCAACTGTCGATATGGTTTTTGTTAAGACAATATATTGTGTTTGACGACATTATGTCCTTTTTAGGACAATTTATGCGTTTTCAATGTCATTTCTAGGACGACTTTCGCGTTTTCGACTACGCCGGAATTTCTTGCAGCGTCTTGGCCTGTTCAGCTCGCGAGTTATCGTGCTGCTGTTGATCTTAGCTACTATCAACCAGTTTTTTAATGGCATCAACATCTACCGTGCCGATGTAAAATTTCATGCAGTTAGATCTGCTGCCCGAAGACTTAAGGACTTGCATGACTATATAAATCTTCGCCAGTGTTTCGCATTGTTGGCGAATGGGAAAGATGCAGAAGGTGCAACCTGTGACTATGCGCGTGAGTTTCTTTCACTTTTACAAGCAGCAGGCCTCGTGTTACCTCTTCCAAGCGTTGAAGATAGGTTCACGCGGCAAGGAGTATGTGCGGGCGGCTGTTTCTTTGCCACCAACGTTCGAGACGCCCAGCGCGTGATGCCCAACTACATGTATCATTTGATACTTACGTTGGGGTCTCTAAGCAGCCATGACAACCCCATATTCGTGTCCATCTACGAGAGCGGTAGCAAGGATCGCACATCGGATTGGTTGCGAACCCTGGGCGAAGTATTTGATGCTTTGAGGTGAGAACTAGAGCTGGCACATCGCGCTGGTGCCTTTGTCCGGCTCTGGTTGACATGTTTTGGTAGCAGACGCATGATATGAATTCTTTATCTGTATGAACAGCATTCCAAACCGCTTGGACCTGGGCGGAACAATCCAGCGGGAGACTGGAGAGGAACGCATCCACTTCCTGGCTCGGTTACGATCAGCAGCAATCGCAGCCTTGTACGGGCAATGCGCCGCAAGGGGGTACTTCTGTCCACCGAGTGAAGGGCGAAACAACGCCAGTGGGCGCATCATCTTCTTAAACGACGTACTCTTCACTAGCACGGACATAATGCGGTTGCTGCAGTACCCTGCCGATATGGTTTGCGGCCTTGACATGGGAATGGCAGCTGAACCTGATATGACGGACCGAGAGCATCAGGAGACGTTGGCGGCGTACTTGCAAGCGAAATGGCTCCTGCCAAGTCGCTTTGCGGCCAGTTTAAGTCGGCTTGGCAAACTTCGCAAACACTGGCGCAAGTTTCATAAGAAATACGAACCCCACTTGCGGGAGTTTGGGCCACTCTTTTTCTACGACAAGTGGGTCGCTCGGGATATCTCTGGACGCATGTTCACCAATCGGGAGCCGTACGTGGCCTACCAGCCCAGCATCGACCGTGTAGTTGCTGGTCGCCCAGTACGAGTCCATTGTTGCTGGAACGGTCTAGCAGTCATTAATGCAGAACCTTTCGTACGTAAAGTTGTGGATTTCCGAGAGCACCGAGAGAATGAATGTTCAGCTTCGGAATGCAGTCTCCTCTGCGATGACATGTGGCGCTATGGATATGATGATATAATTATGGATCCCAATGTACGGGTTACATACGATGCGGCGGGCGTGAACAAGCTGTTTAAGGCGTTCACAACGTCTCTGCCGCTGGGGGCACCAGGAGTGGCCTATGCACCCTTCAACCCTGCAGATGTCCTCGATGTTATGTCTCTCCCCAAGCACGACGATGTAACTCGGGAAGCCGGGGCCGTCGGGGGTCACTTTACGCGTGAAGTGGATTGCTGCGACCTGAAGAAGGGTGCAGATATGGTAGAGTTCCGGGATAAGGGTGTCTGCCACACAACGGCAGTGACCCTTAAATATTGAGATATTGCTCAAATGCTGCCCTTGCGTTGATCCTTAATGTAAAGGGGCGTTTGGCGGCATTCATAGGCATTCTTGAGTGATTAGTTGTTCTCATATTTGGCAGGTCTTTCACAGCCAGTCTTATGCCAAAAGATGTGATTCTAGGGATTGATTCATGCGAGTTATTTTGTGGGGAGAGGCTTCCGTGTCGGGATGTAGGTCTATGGGCTGCCATGCTAGTGTTAAGCGCCTGAAAGGATTGGGTATGGCCTGCTCACAGCGATCTAACCTTTGTTTCTGTAAACCGCCTGATCTAGATGAAGCCTGCATGAAACACACCTTCTCCTTTAAATGGTGTTTGGTATTGCGACCCTCAACAGCAGATGGATTCAAGGTGCTATAATAGCGCAGCGAAAAGTGTCTTACTCGTACGATGCCCGAAGGTCCGCTGGAAGAGCCTGCGGCGCACCTGACCTGACAATAAGCACAAAATTGACAAATGCGTACTGTTTTTGGCATCCTGCAGGAATACGTGGCAGAAATTTCCCCAAACCATATATAAGGATTTGATGTTTGGTCTGATCGCAGAGAGTACTCAACCGTTCGACAGTTAGCATTTACACGTTAATAACGCTTCGCGAAAATAACTTAACTGAACGAAAAACATTTGCAATGAGCTTCACGTTAAGGACGCAGCTACTTCTCAAGCGTAAGGCGTTACTTTGACGCTGTACACGCTACCGGTCTTGGGCATCAAGTGCGGGTACTTTGATCAATACCGCCCCACTCCCTTCTCACCTCCAGGTATGCTGCTTTGGTAAAAAGGCCTGATGGATGACAGCCTCGGCCCAGATACGCTTGCATTGCCATCATGCTGTTGTGTGCCGGCACGTCCACCGGCCATGCACAGAAGCAACACACATTGTACGGTAATACTCCTAACAACTCAACGTGCCAGTGAGAATAGGCTAGGTTTATGACACATCGATACATAGGTTTCTGAGTATCATTTACATGAGGTACACTCATCGCATGCTGTTGGGCGCGCCTGCAGTATTCTTCTTATGCCTCTTTGCCATATTGTTGTGCTCACGGCAATTACATACTGACAGATTTATAGTAACTTCAGTCAGCGAGCATCGTGGCGGAAGTCAGTTGCAGCGAACACAACCAACCCTAGTGGTCTACGTTCTCAGCTTCGAGGATGCAGCCTACATTGAAAACTTTAAGTTCTTCGTTATAGAGGTAAAGTCCTTTTTATATTTTTTCTTTCATGGACCGGGCACGTAACGACTTTCTCGGACCCAGGCAATCCTACGTGACAACACAGCATGTTACGAAGTGCTGTTGCCAAGAGGCCACGGAAAGGTGCCTTACCGGAGCTGTGCAGTTTCCTGGCCAAGCCAATTCCCTGGCCGGTGGTTACTTGGGTGGACATAATAGCCCGCAATCCAAGCATAATTAGGGAACCTATCTCTGTGTTCTATATGTTGCGCATTTGGGTAGCCAGGCCGTGTACTTTTTAATAATTGGTAATGCAGTCACCGTGTACATCATGCTCGCCCCGGGCAAAGACCGTTTGTTAGGCCGTAAATTGTTTTTTTCCCGCAGGTGGGCTTGGGCAGGTGTAAACATAGTTTAGGGACTGCGTGCTCGTTCTTAATCGTGTAGTTTGTGCCAACGGCGTACATGCATAGGGCTTATATTCGTCCCTGCACAGAGCAACTTTTTGGCAGCGAACACTTGCGCCCTACAAAGCAGTACTAATATGCATCCCCCGCAACCGCAGGAAGCGTTGCTGCCGAAGCTGCCTTCTCACGCTCGTTATACTGAGCACGCGCGGAGCTGTAGAGGCCTCAACCTTGTTCGTTGGCACTTGTCTATCAGGGCGGACAATGAGCTCGTGGAACGGTTTGTGCTGGTTAGCTCGGCAGTCAAGGGCCCATTCATACCCCCGGCCATGCGTGTAAGTCTTAAAAGCGCACTTCGGACCAGCAACGCATGACCCGTAAATGTGGCCCAGTTGGCCTACCCTGCGGTCCATTTCCACAGGCGCGTAATGGCACGTGCCTGTGCTATATGCGTTTACGGACTTGAGAAGCTTGGCCTCCCTGTTCTGGTGTACAACAGGATGTCGTAACATGGCACGTGGCTCTGGGCCAGGGCCTGGGGACGGCCGCTGGGCTGGCAGGCGGCGTTGTGAGCTGCGCACAGCCCTCAGAGCGCCGGGAGTTGGGGGAATCGGAGCTGCCTTTGAATCCCTTCCTGGATTTCACTGCGCTGGCGGCTACAAGGGTGAGTTTAAAGCCGAACGTGTGCAAGCTTTGTGGGCTCTGCATGGAAGTTACAGTACGTTCTTTGGAAGGCATCGAGCATGGATGGGTGCGCCGCATAGCGGACCGGTGCTTTGCCAGGAATCCAGCTAAATATGACGAGGAGAGGGCTTGGGACCGATGTTGTGCGCAGGCTTAGCGCGTCCATGACCTCTTTGAGCGGCAGGATCTTTCAGAAATTACCCGGCTTGGGAAAAACACCTAACAAACCGATTACCCAACGAACCTAACTGGCAGCGTGTTGTTTGTTCCTGCACTTGCATTGTTACGCCTCGCTCCTCAACGGTGCAGGCCGCCATTATCGAGTTGCTGCGTCTGCCGAACGAGCAATTTGAGTGCCCGGCTGCGGAGGCAAAACTTTCCAGGGAGCCTGCTGTCGCAGTCTATAGCGCCGCGCTCCTGGCCATGGATGGTCTGACAGCCGCGGAAGCGGAAGCCATGAAGGGGCTGCGTGCTTGGAGCGCTGCCGTACTGGGCGCCGGGATGGGGCTGTCGTCACTGGTCGTGCGGCAGCAGGGTGTAGACTGGTCCGACAAGCAGATGTGGAGATGTAACGGAGGGTGGGTTATGGGCGCTTGGTGGTACGCAGTTGGGCCTTTGACGGACCCACGGCAGGCGGGAAAGGTATCCTCGAGGGCGGTATTGCCCTTGCCAGCCTCCTCCCTTCTGTCTTTTCCATCACTCCATCCACCCCTGTAGCTTCCCCGGCTGTCGCCCTCGACAAGCTGTGGCATGTACCCAAGGCCTTGAGGCATGGGGGAACACAATAGGTAGAGTTTCATGGCAATCCCCTTGCCTCCTTGGCTTGCAGGCTATCTCCCCTCCTCGAACGGGCAAATGATGGCTTGTCACTGCTGCCATTCGAGGCAATGTTCCTGCCCGTCAGTGAATACGATGACGTTGACATGCCATACGGCGCTGCTGGAGAATTCGCGCGGGCTTATTCAGAGTGGATGTTGGTGAGGTTTGCATGAGTGCACTGGGTCACGGGGTTCGGCTGCGAAAGCAGTGGTACTACGCGTGTTCGCGTACGTTTACAACATGCGTCCGTCGCGACATGTGGGCTTGCCTGTCCAGGGGGATGCATTGCTCATGCAGTTCGTCCTGGAGACGGGAGCCGATTCCTGTCTGTATCGCTCAGCCTGTGTCCTTCAGCGCATCATAGCCCGCCCCATATACAAGCAGGGATTTCAAACCAGCCGAGGCTGCTTCCTGTCCAAAAGAGTATACCGTAGACCCTGGTACCCGTAAGCTGCTGCTATGAGATTCAGCTCGCATACCAGCTCTTTCCCCTTTCGGACTGCTTTCCGTGTGCCTATGTCCCAAGCATTGCTTGTGCTTGCCTGAAATTTCCCTCCCCGACGTGCAGGCGGCGAGCATAATTGGTGTTGCGCCGAGTAAGGGTATGGTGGAGCAGGAGGTGGGGAGGAAGGTTGGCCAAGCAGTTCTGGGAACAGAGTCCGCCAGTCTGCATACCTTCCCGTCCCATATGGATCTGGCCGCTCGCAACAGCTACTATCAGCTGGGCAGTGAGTACAAGCTGCCCGGGGTGCTGGTGGCGGTGGCACAAGGGGAGGACTGCTTTGATGCTCGCTATTTTCTGCAGGTGAGCACGTAAACAATGTATGGGCTGGATGGCGGACAAAGAATTTTGAAAAGGATGGAGCACATAATGAATGCAACCAAGAAGTAACATTCAACAGAACGCCAAGCACCAAAAAGCACGGGAGGCAGGTTATATGATTATCATGGATTATTACCGTACTGACGCTAATGTTTATAATGGTTGATTCCACAAAAAAAAATAGGTATTAAAATTAATAACCTCATTAGCGTCTTTGTAAAAGTTTGTGCCCAGACGGGAAAAGTCGTACAGGCGCAGTCTATGAGCTGTTTGCATTTCAAAAATAGGGGGGTCCTTGTGAAGCAGCTGCCCGCGTTTTCAAAGCACGTATGGTGTTGGATTGTAAGGTGCCCAAGTAGGTTTGCGAGGAAGAGAATGTGGCCAGGCTGGAGAGGAAAGTGCAGTGGCATATTGGAATGTGAGATTAGCGTAAGCGAGTTACAGGGCGTTTTATTGCACGGGCGAATTTACGTGCAAATCTTTCACCGTAGCATCAGTCCTCAGTTCACTTCTTGGAACGAACATCAGCATAGGTGCAAGCCCTCTCGCTTGGGGGGATATGCAAACAAACATCCTGATAGGGGTAAACTCGCACGCTACCGAGCATTCAACCGAGCACATGCATGCTTAGTTGAATGGTGAGATGCGACCCCCCCTTCATTTCGTGCTCGGCAAGCCTGCCACCGCGTACCGGATATGTTGGCGAGCTTACAGAACGCTGCACCTTGGTTTCTGTGCGCATTGCGTACGTTGCTCGACCCCGCCGACCAAAACTACACGTGCCCAACTGAAGACATTCCCGGTGGTTGTGCAGCAGCTCTTGAGGCTGTTGCTGGCTGAAATCCATCCTGAGCTGTTGCAACACGGCTAACGCTGGCACGCCCCTATGCACAGCAAATAGCTGTTCCAAGCCAACAGCGGCGTCCATGTCACCGACAAGGCTCTAAACGTCTTATCTGTTCTTATGTTTAATTAAGTTTATGTATGTTATACTTTGCGCAACTTTGTAATTTGACTTTACTCTGAACAAGGTGCTGCATACAACTGCCTCTTTGCCAGCGCTTCATCTTCCGCGGCAGTTTCACGAACCCAGAGTTGCAAGCTACGACGTTGGCTTTCGGTGCTTTTATTTACTGCAAAGCATCCACGCAATAGTCCAGCGTGCGGCTATGGCCAACATGCCCACCTGCGCAACGCGCTGGCGCACCTGGTCCTCATCCGCCAAGAAAATTTATATGCACTTGTACAGGCGCATTATGAGAATCGCACGCGCGCATCTGCGCGGCAAAATTCGCTCCTGGCTTTTTTGGGACGAGTGTACTTAGGCTTTATTCGCGAAGTACGACCGGACACATTTGTGCGAGGGGCTGCTTAACTATTCAAAAACACCGGGGTCCTGGTGAAGCAGCTGACCGCGTACTAAAGTATATTGATGCGGAAGGTGCCGAAGTATGTCGGTGAAACATGATGTGGCAGGAGTGGAGAGAATAGTGCAGCGGTATATTGTGAGTGTAGTTGAAGGGTTACAAGGCGTTCGTCGCACGGGCGAATTTACGTGCATAACTTTCATCGTGGGCGCGTCACGTTGCAAGCTAAGCAACGCGTATACATGACGTGTAGCATCAGTCCTCAGTTCACTTCTTGGAACGAACATCAGCATAGGTCCAAGCCCTCTCGCTTGGAGGGATATGCAAAAAACATCATGATAGGTAAACTCGCACGCTACCGAGCATTCAACCGAGCACGCTACGAGCAGTCCTTGTAAGGAGCAGCATACCACTCACGGCCGTATGCGCAGCAAAAAACTGTTCCAAGCCATCAGAGGCGTCCATGTCACTGGCACGGCTCGGAACGACTTTCCTGTATTTATGTTTAATTAAGTTTGTGTATGTTATATCTTGTTTGCGCAAGTTTGTAATTTGATTTCACTCTGAACTAGGTGCTGTATGCGTTGCGCTACCAAAAGCGCGCCCCTTTGCTTTCACAAAAGTGCCGCTTCGCCAAACGCTTCCTCTTCCCGCGGCCGTTTATTGAGCCCAGTCTTGCAAGCTACGTTGTATGCTTTCGGTGCTTTCAGTTCCGGCAAAGCAGCCACCCAAATTTCCGGCCTGCATACCGCGTGCGTCTGTGGCCAACATGCCCTCCTGCGCAACGCGCTGGCACACCGCGGCCTTTCGCCAAAAAAATGACATACACTTGTACACGCGCATTTTGAGAATCGCACGCGCGCCGTCGCGCGGTAAAATTCGCTCCTGGCTTTTGGGGCGTCTTGTACGGACCGTTTATTCGGCACAGTACGACCGGACACGATTGTGCGAGAGGCTGCTTAACAATGCTAGTATAATATACCATCACCTACTACTATTTATTTGTGCAAATCTGGTTGCCTTCACTGAGCGCGCATTGAATTTGCCCAACTTGCCGATCTGGCAGAAGCCAATCACTAACTCCTTCAAGCAGCTAACCCTGGTGGCGATGGCCTACACGCATACACCCCCAGGCACCTGGGAGGAATCAAGGGATCGCCCTCAAATAACCAGAGATAGCACAACAAGAGGGGAAAGAAAAGTCAACGAGGCACATCGATTGGGCGCCAGCCAAACCGCTGCTAAAGCGATGACACTAAAGTAAAAGTAACACAGCCGCCCAGGTTGACGGTTAAGACTAATCAAACAGCACTTCTCTGCCCCAACGAGGGCTGATCAAAGTCAGGAATTGCCGTACTAACTGCACGGCTTCAACTCGCCTGAAAATTTTCGGTTTACTAGGTTTAATCCGTAATCTACCATTTCGGCCCCCGATGTGCCATCATGATAGGATTGAGCGCAGGAAAAGCGGGATTTGGGCGGAAAAAGGTTCACTTACAAATCCAAATGCGGGGGGTTAGGGCGGAAAAGGTTTCCCCATAGATCAAATGCGAACTTGTTCGATACCATGCGCCTTCAAGGATTGGTTGTGCTCTCCAGCAGCGGCGGCATTGCGCAGGCGGTCGGCCATGGACGGCCGTCGCAGGAAAACAAACCGTTTGCTCACCGGGCACCCCACACAGCCGGCTTGCCCCGCTGATCCGCTGCCTGCCAGTATAGATGGCCATCTCACATTCTAAAATTCTCCAAAAACTTGGAGCAGGAGGCGGGGGAGAGTGGGGGGGAGTGGGGCGGCAGCCCCATGACCCTGCACGTACCCCGAAACCATCACCTGTAACCGACATGCCATCATGATAGGGAAGAGCGGGAGCCGAGACATTTAAAAGCATAATTGTACTTTTGCCATCTGCTCACCCAGTCGCCGACCTGTTCCATCTTGCACGCCCAGAGGGCCCGTCTCCACCGTACATTTTACCCGCTGCTCCGCTCCTATGGCGCCAATCTTCCATAAGTGTGCCTGATCCTTGCTTACATTCTGTCTGTGCGGGATCAGTAACCAGTTCCGGTTGCTGCATGCCAGTCCCCATTTTTTAGCTTGCTCGAAAAGAGTTGATTACGTTTTTGGCTTTGTCCGGTTCCATTTCCCTTATCTTGGCATTGTTGGCGCTGGGACCCTGACCTGGGAGTCCTCCTAACATTATGCAACCATCCCCTGCCCCCGCCAGGCCAACCCCGACGTTGTGGGGCTTAGCAACCATGAGGCTTGGAAATTTTTTGTGTTCTACGCACAGTTCCAGCCGCGGCCCTATCGCCTTAAGTGCGGAGTGGACTGGAGCAAGTATGGCCTGAAGGGATCAGGTGGCCGCAGAAAGAGGACTGCAGGCGCTAACAGCAGCCAGGTGCCCACCCGGGGTGGGACTCATCCGTGGTAGCCTGCCAGCAGGCAAAGACAGGTCTAAAGGTGCATCTGTACTCGGCACGTCTATTATGAGGCTCCCTTTGGACCCGTCCCGTTAATGCGTTGGTAGTTCATCGCTGTAATTACCAATCTGCCGGGGCTGATTTCCCGCCCAACCCACCGGTTAGGGCCGGCAATGACCGGGAGCTACAACCGCCGTCTGGACTTCAGGCTACTGCTTAGCGTGGTGAAAATCTTTCCGTCTTGGTTTCGCAAGCTTGTTAGGGATGTCAAGGTGATTTCGCCAAACTAATTTCAGCGATCAGCCTGTACCTCCTTTGTTTGCATGTCGAGCACAGGCGCGCGCCCTGCAGAGGCTGCTGCATAGCAGCTTGAAGGACATTATGATTATGCATGGGGGGACGGTGCATTTGGCCCATTCTGACTGGAGCCAACGAGTCCGCCGGCGAGTGGTCAAGAGGAGTCCAAATAAATCATGTGGAAAATCCGCATCGAGCGGAATTACAGTAATCTTTTTTGTGCGAAATTTTACTATAACCCAATAACTAGCAGGTCCGAAGAACCATATAGCAAAAATAGATATCGGCCGGCGACCTCGGCGCCTAGGTTTGAAATTTCACGCGGCTGCTAGCAACTTTCGCAGGTAACATAATTGTTATAGTATCATGGTGATGGACATTTACAACTCAGAAATGCCATTGCACGTGGGAGTAGGAAAATCGTCGGACCTTATTGGAAACGGTCGTACCACATCGTACCGGTCCCGACCAACCCACCCATTACTTCAGATGCATTTGGCGACAACATTTCATGGTCCTTTTTGAATTCTGATCACAGGGCTTGCACTATTCTTTTATTTCTTACTGCTTGCAACCGACGGCTTGACGTATGCTTGGACTCACCAGGACTCACTTGGCGATCTTACGACCTTCACCTCCGACGCCCGCCTAATGGCCAAGAATATCACCGAAGTTTGTTTCTCTATGCATTGTGGTAGACCAACATATCGGATCCTGGATCCTATTAAACGTTTTTCATGGCGCTATGAAATTTTTCTTTGGCGCCATGTCTTGGTTTCGGAGACTGTTGGAAACACCACGACCTCTAGCGCCCTTTAAGTCTCCTCTAGGTCAACTCTAGTGAAAATAACGGGTAGCTAATTGAAAACAGGCTGTTAGGCACTGTAAAGTTATCAACAAGTCACCGTTGCCGCCCCGAAACCAGGGCATATTTTTTTCTCGAAACTGCACATTGCTCGTAATTATTTTGCGCCATTTTGCTAAGCTGTGTTAAGCTAACAATCGGCGACCATGGAATGTACGGAAAATATGGATCGTAAGCTTTCCCTATTATACACGGGCTCCATTACAAATTATAAATATAGAAAAATACAAAAATATAGCTGTTCATGTCAAAGGTCTGTGGTCAGAAGGCACAAACCAGCTCCTAAAAGTTGCCCGCCAAATAAATAGTGGATTGAAATTAATAGCAGGTGTTAGGTTTTCTCGTTAGTTGTTAGGTCGTTAACTTTACTTTAGGTCTGAGGTCCAATTACTTTGTTGTTGTTGTTGTTGTTACATGGTCGTGGGTGCGTTCCCCGTACCTGCAAACCACCCTAATACGAGCCGAGGGCTCAAGGGCTGCCAGATCGCCTATAAGCACCATCCTACCTCGCACTTCCAACAAAACAAGTGATGAAGGATACTAACGACCAAAGGAAACGATAGAGTTGCGGTGGGACCATATGCGTTCCAGCATCCTTGCCAAGCGTTCAGGTTCCCACTTCATAGCGTCCTTCATATGCTCGAAGCGTGGAAAGCCCATATCAGATCTGATTTTGTCGTACAACGGACAGTCCAGCAAAATGTGCTTCTCATCCTTTAGGCTTTGCTGTTGGGCATTGNCGGCTAACAGAG